ACTGGAATTGAACCTGGGACTCATTGGTCACAGGCCAAGGCTCTAATCGCTGAGCCAAACTGGCCAGGGCAGATTCTCTTACTTTTTTTTATCCTCACCCGAGGACATTTTTTCCATTTTTGTTAAGATAGTGGGAGGGAGAGAGAGGAAGAGAGAGAAACATCGACGTGAAAGGGACACCCGCACGACCCATCCATGGCTGGGGACAAACTGCAACCGAGGTACACGCCCTAAGCGAGAACTGAACCGGGGTTTCTCTGGACCGCAGGCTGACGCTCTAACCACTGAGCAAAACGGGCCAGGGCAGATTCTCTCTTTACATCAGATTTCGACATACTTCTGTCAATTGGTTGAAATATTAGTTTCATTGAATTAAGTACCTTTTTCCCTATACTGTGCGTATAATAAAATGAAGTGATAAGACCATTTCTATATATTTCTACATGAGCTATATGTAGAGATATGATTTTAAAATTAACATGTTATTGTTGGAAATATGGAAAACACGAAGAATATAAAAATTGTCATAAAAGTTTTAAAAAATTTTTAGTTTTCAAGTAAAGTCTGTATACAATATTATATTAGGCTTAGGAGTACAATGTAGTGATTAGACATTTATATAACTTAACAGTAATTGCCCTAAGTCTGGTACTCATCTGACACCATATGTAGTTATTAAAACATTATTGACTGTATTCCTTATGTTCCCTTATTGACTTTACACCCCCATGACTATATTATCACTGCCAATTTGTAGTTCTTAATCCCTTCACCTTTCTCACCCAACTCCCCAACACACTCCTATCATCGGTCAACCGTCAATTAGTTCTCTGTATCTATGAGTTTGTTTCTGTTTTTATATTTGTTTTGACTTTTAGATTGCACATAAAAGTGAAATCATAAGGTACAGTATTTGTGTTGTCTGACTTGTATCACTTAGCATAAAAAAACCTCTAGGTCCATCCATGTTGTAGCAAATGGCAAGAGTTCAGTCTTTTTTATGGCCCAGTAATATTTCTGTGTGTGTGTGTGTGTGTGTGTGTGTGTGTGTGTGTGTGTGTGTGTGAGGTTGCTCCCATATCTTGGCTATTGTAAATAATGCTGCAGTAAACATAGGGGTGCATGTTATTTTTTTGAATTCGTGGTTTGGATTTCTGCAGATAAATACCCAGATTTGGAATTGCTGGGTCATATGCTAGTTCTATTTTTACTTTTTGAGGAACTTCCATACTGTTTTCCAGAGTGGCTGCACCAGTTTGCAGTCTCGCCAATAGTGCACAAGGGTTCCCTTTTCTCCACATCCTCACCAATACTTGTTATTTATTGATTTATTGATGATAGCCATTCTGACAGGTATGAGGTGGTATCTCATTGTGGTTATAATTTGCATTTCCCTGATGATTAATGATGTTGAGTATTTTTTCATATATCCGTTGGCCATCTGTATATCCTATTTGGAGAAATATCTGATCAGGTCTTCTGCCCAGTCTTTAATAAGATCTAAACTTACTAGGTTGAGTATTTTGTATTTGGTCATGTGATTTTTTTCTTTGGGGGAATTCTCTCTCCACCTTTTTATATTTATTTTATTTTTATTGATTTTTCATTAACCTTTTATATTAATGATGCTTCATTGTGAAAGATTTTTTTTTGATTTGCTGTTTCCTTTAATGGGCAGTGAACTTCTCTAGGTCAAGGACTGTATGTCTTATAATAATGGCTATCAATTTTTAAGCATTACTATATGCTAAGCATTCAGCATTTTTATGTACATTATCACACTCAAATCCTAATATGAGATTAATGCTAGAATTAACACTATTTCCTTTTTAAAGAGGCTAAGTGAAATTAAGTAATTTGCTGAGAAAGATGCAACTAACTTTCAGTGGTGGAGCTAGGAATGAGACTATATAGATTTGACTACATAGGTTTCTCAAAAAATTTAAAATATAACTACCATATGATCACACAATCCAAGTTCTGGGTATATATCCTAAAGAATTAAAATCAGAATCTCAAAGAGCTACTTGAACTGCAATGTTCATAGTATTCACAATAGCTAAGACAGGAAAAAATGTAATTGTCCATCAATAGAGGAATAGATAAAGAAAATGTAGTGTATACAAAGAGCTTTAAAAAAGAAAATCCTGCCATTTGCATCAACATGGATGAACCTAGAGGACATTGTGATAACTGAAATAAGCCAGTCACAGAAGGACAAATACTGCATGATTCCACTTAATATGAAGTATCTAACTATAGTCAAATTCATAGGCACAGAGAAGATAATAGTGGTTGCCAGGGGCTGGAGGGTGGGGGGACATGGGGATGTTGTTCAGTAGGTATAAAGTTTAGTTATTTTGTTAAGTTCTAGAGATTTGCTATACAATATAATGCATATAGTTAACAATACAGTATTGTGTACTTCAAAATTCATTGAAAGGATAGGTCTCATTGTAATTGTTCTTACCAAGAAAACCCAAAGGGACACAAGGAAATTTTAGGAGGTATTGGATATGTGTCTCTTACTTTGATTGTGGTGATGGTGTCGTGGGGGATATACATATGTCCAGATGCATTAATTTGTACCATTAAATATGTGCAGTTATTTGTATGTCCATTATCCCTCAATAAGCCTATTTTTAAAAACCCAGCATACTGTCCAGCAGTTGGATTATTATGTATGCATCTGATGATCAATTACTGTTTTATTGTAAGCAAAGAAATTTAGTACCAGATTTGCAGAATGGAAAATCAATATAATTACAGTGTAAATCATGAGTTTTTAGAAGGTTATGACTAAAGAGAGAATATTTAGTTAGAAGGTTGTTTTAGTAGTCTACTTAAAACTACACTTATATTCCTGGCTTGGGCAATAGGGCAGATAGTATCCCCTTTCACCAACATGAAAAACCAGTAGGAGGGGGAAGATTTCTTTGGGAAGATGAGATCAGCTGGGAGCAATCTGAATATGATGTGCCTATTAGATAGCCATATAAAAATCATCTATGTAGAGATGGCTGAGTAGTTCTAGAGTTTTCCATCTGGCCTAAACAAATTTGGATGTGATCATCTAACCTTGGAGTAGTAAATATACCCATGGAAAGTCTTTCAGTTTATTCTGTGTAAACACATGTATACTTACTAAAAAGTGTTCATTGCAAGCCATGATAATAACTATGGCTTTAATCCCTAACGATAATGTAAAACGAAATTTGCAAGCTACTTGTATATAATGTAGACTTAATAAATAGAATTATGATGGTCATCAGTGATTTTTTTATGTCATGTAGTTTAGTTTACTTAAATATTTAATGAACAGCATTTGCATTCTGTATTGCTATCATTTTGTGTTGCTACAATGAAAAATATCACTTTGAGAACTGCACCTAAACTGTTACTATAAAACAGGAAATTATACTATCAGGTTTGCAGAATTTAAAAAATCAACTTAATTGCAATATAAATAATGGATTTTAGGGGAATATTACTAGAGGGAAAAAACCCAGTTAGGTTGATTTGGTTTTAAGAGAGGAATTAATATGTTCAATTTTATATTTTAGATCAGGTACTGTGCAGTAAGGTAGTTGAAGTCAAGGATGGCTAGTCTGGATATGGAGATAAGAACTAGGGGATTGTTCTAATGGTACATAATAATGTTAGGGTAATAGAGTTGTCAAGAAATATATTAAAATCATTAGGTGTTAAGAGAAGAAATCTATAAGGATCACAACTGGTTTCTTATTTGGGTATGTTACAAATTGTGATGCATTTAGTGAAAAATAATAAAGCACAGCCCATAGTAAAACAAACAAACTTGTGAATTTAATTTTCTGATTTCTGGATTCTGACATCAAAACTTACAGGTAAGTATGGTATACCAGAAGAGATATTCTACTTTCAGTATTATAAATGCTTCTTTTCAGACATTAAGCTCTAGTTCCTACACCTAAACGTCTTCACTATATAAAGGTTAGAGGGGTTGAAACTGGCTCCATGAAGCTGAACCATGAATTCTTCTAAGTGTAAACCATGACTGAAGAGATGGAATGAGTGGGATTTCTTTAAGTTCATAGTACAAACAAGTTTAAGGGAGTGAATGCTTTCTTTTCATCTTACCCAGGATATATCGCATTCTTGCATTGGCTTGCATCAGTTATTTTGGATGAATGCATTGTAGTATTTTCAATGACTTTTTATGTTTTCCTTATTTGAAATAAATCATTCTTATAAAAAACTATTTTAGTTTTGATTGCTTTTTATATAAACATATTTGTAAATACTTGTATCTTTTAAACATTTTATGGGAAACTTTTGACTTTGTTTGAAATATAAATTGATTTTTAAAATCAGCGATGGCTTTAGTTCTTATCATTTAGTGAAAATGTATTTAAACCCCATAAAGGATTAATGTCTAAAATACTGAATTCAGAGATTAGCTAAAAGTTTAACATCAAAAGAGATCTTGTAATTTGTTTGATTTTGTTTTTAAAATGTAACACCTTTCATACTTTTTTTTTGCCTAATTAAGTCTGAAAACTTATTTATTCATAACTTTTAAAAGTAATTTAATTGGGTCACAAACAGTACTGCATTTAACTTGACAACTATAGCAAAAATGAAAATATTATTTTCATTCTAAAAGTGTATACATTATGTCCAATATATATTACATACATTAATAAAGTACATACATATCTTCTTGTATTATTAATTACTGACATATAATACAAAATTCATCATAAAAGTAAATATGGTTATTTTATTTCTTCCATCACCATTTATCAAAAAGGCCATTCTTTTTTGAGAACTGCACAGTCCAGTGACAAAGGAATTCTGTTCATGTTGATGGGGTTGAAGAGTTGTGAAGCAGGGGAAGTTGACTCACGTACTGGTTTTAGCTGAAATAAAACAACTTACAATTTCTAAATTTAGTTTTAAGTGAAAGTTTATCTGCAATTGATAGTGCCATTCAACTTCAGTCATCTCTCTTTTCACAGAGCTCCATCATAAGCATTCATGGTCAGTTTCTGGCAGCACTCGAATCACTGAAGACATTCTGGGACGTAATGGATGAAATTGATGAGAAGACTTGGGTCCTGGAGCCCGAGAAACCTACACGGAGTGCAACCGCACGTAGAATTGCACTAGGTAGGGAAAAGAGGCTTAATGTGTTTTTTTGTTTGTTTTAAGATATTTGATAATATTTTATAGTCCTTAGGAAAATTAATCTAAAGATGACATTGGACTCTTAGGTGAGACTTTTCTGCATGAAGTAAACTCTCAAAACTTTTTGGGATGAACTTTTTTTTTTATTACTATCTATTAAAATGTAAATATTTCAGGGGAAAAGGGCAAGTAGTGAGGTGTTTCATTATAAAAGGTGATGATCCAGTGGAAGAGCATTCAGAGATGGTATTAAATTAGCTTTTAATTAGCACCAAAATAGTGGAGCAGGTTTTTCAAAACTTACATTACTTAGGAAAAAGAACTATATTAGAAATAATGAAGTCTTCATCCATAAAACTAGAGAAGATTAGTGTGAACAAATCTGGGAATATTTTCTGAAAAAAATATAGAGAATAAAAGAACCTGAAATGAGCCATGCATGCCATTGAAAAGTAGACAAAAAGCACACAATAATAACTGAATATATTTGAAGTATTTTCTTTATTATACATATTATATTTGAAGTATTTTCTTTTTTTATTCTTAAATTTATTCCTACTTTTTTTTTAATCCTCACCTGAGGACATTTTTCTATTTTTTTGTTCAGACAGAGGGGGAAGGAGAGAGAGGGAGAGAGAAACATCAACATGAAAGGGACACATCGAGTGGTTGCCACCTGCACGACCCCACCAGGGTACGTGCCCTTGGTGGGAACCAAACCTGGGTCTCTTGGGACTGCAGGCCGATGCTCTAACCGCTGAGCAAAACCGGCCAGGGCTGAACTATTTTCTTTATTATAAATATATGGAATGAAAAAGATACATAACTGTAAATATCATCCTTTATTATCACCATATTCTCGTTACTATAAAATGATTGTTTTATATATTTCCTTACGAGTAAGCAAAACAGTTTTCAAGTTCTGCCTCTCTCAAGATTTTAGATGTTTTAAATATTTGAGTTCACAGTAAATACTATAGTTGGATGTCTAGAAGATACCTATTTATATCTTTCCTCGCCTTTTTCCTGGTCCAAATATCTATGTTGTTACAAATCATATAATCCAAAGGATATTTTGAAATTCTAATGTGAATCATATCCCAATTAGTGAGTAATTTTTATAGTTTTACCCAGGCATACTAGATTATGTTATTAGAAAAGTATAATTGTATAGCAGTTCTACAAATGGTATTGTTACCCAGTTTGTTAAAGCTAACTAACAGTATGTGATTTGGAACAATTAACAAAATTTTGGTATATTTGTGAACAACTAGATATTAAGAATGAAAATATTTTCTTCAAAGAAGTGTAGTGACTTATCTTCATGTCCCCATTAAAATAATTATTTTTATCAGGTTATGATTAAATATACTTTTTAAAAATGTTATCTTTGCCCTGGCTGGTTTGGCTCAGCGGTTGGAGCGTGGGCCTGCGGTACAGAGAGAATCGGGTTCGGTTCCCGCTAAGGGCACGTACCTCGGTTGCAGTTTGTCCCCGGCCCTGGTTGGTCGTGCGGGTGGCAGCCACTCGATGTGTCCCTTCACGTTGATATTTCTCTCTCTCTCTCTTCCTCTCTCTCCCTCCCGCTCTATCTGAACAAAAAATGGAAAAATGTCCTCAGGTGAGGATAAAAAAAAAAAAAATGTTATCTTTATTGTTCAAAGTATTATAGATGTCCTTTTTCCCCCACTGACACCTTCCTCCCTGTCTTCGCGGCACTGTTGTCTATGTCCATTGCTTATGCATCTGTGCATACAAGTGCTCTGGTTTATCTCCCCGCGCCGCCCCCCCACCCCCCCCCCCACCCCCGTGAGCTTTGTCAGTCTGTTGTCTACTTTCATGTTTCTGGATCTATGTTGTTCGTCAGCTTATTTTGTTAATTAGATTCCACAAATAAGTGAAATCATGTTATATTTGTCTTTCTCTGGCCAGAGAAAGATAAATATACTTTTTATTTCTCATTGTTCAGCAAAATCAACTTGGTTTTTATTCATTTACTCTTCTCTATGTTTACTTTTTAGACCCCCCCCCTTTTGATTTGCCTTTTTAAGATGAAGTTTTCAGCAAATTAATTGAAAGATTAGTTAATATAGACATTGTTAAGTGACAGTATTTCCTGGAGTCAGTAGATGACTTTGCTAAAGGCTAATATGAAATTTGTGTTTATGGTAAAGGATGCATTAACAAATGAGATAATAAGTTAATTTTTTGTACATCTTTTTTTCTCATTGAATGACATATTTATTTTACTTGGTTACCTTTTTGCTAGACCTGTGATAATTGTATTTATACTGTTGCCAACCTTAGCCAAAGGTTTATACACTATATTGTACAGAATTTATCGACATTTTTACCATAAAAATGAAATTTAAATTCACCTTAGACAATTATACTTTGCACCTTCAAAAAAGTAAAATTTCTGAAATTTGTACAGTACTCTAGGTACAGATAAAATTTATAAAAGAATCTAGTATCAAGTAGAAATAACTTTTTTGTAAATTCTGCAAACAGGGTTAGTTGTTTTTACTAAATGAACAATTTCAAATTTAATAGGAATTGAACCCTTTAACTTACAGGGGAAAACTTCAGATGAAACAAAATAATTCAGAAAGTATTCTTATAAACCCACATAAAACTCAAATCTTAAGCATTTTTTCTTTTTACCATTTATTGTATTTTTAGTCTATACATTTGACCGTAGTTCTATTACTTTTCAAGAAAGTCATGAAAAGTAATTTATTTATCTTTTTTTTAATCCTCACCTGAGGATATTTTTCTACTTCTCTTCAGACTGAGTGGGAGGGAGAGAGAAAGAAAGAAACATCAATATGAGAGGGACACATTGACCGGTTGCCTCCTGCACCACCCCAACCAGAGCTGGAGAAGAACGCAACTGAGGTCCGTGCCCTTGGCCGGAATAGAACCCGAGACTCATTGGTCTGTGGCTGATGCTCTACCGCTGAGCCAAACCGGCCAGGGCTTGAAAAGTAATATTAGGTATTAAATAAGCTGAGGAACATTGGAGGTAGGGAACAGACTGACAAACCTCAGAGGGAAGAGGGGTGGGGGGCGGAAGAGATAAACCAAAGAACTTAATATGCATAACTAATGGACACAGACAACAGTGCAGTGACGGCTGGGGGGCTGGAAGGTGGGGTGTCAATGGGGGGAAAAAAAGAGGGACATCTATCATACTTTCAACAATAAAGATAAAAAAATTTGATTTGTGAATTTTTGTATTAAAAATGTTCATCACTCCATAGAACCTTTTATTTAAACTTTAATAGAATTCTGACTAGGATTCTTAAGTAAATTCATTATATTAACTTATGAATTGATTCTGTTTTTTTGAAACTTAGGGTCCCCAATCTTTAGCCACAATTATAATTTCAAAATCTATTTCTTTTAATTAAATGATAATATAGTGACATATTTACCTATATGAAAAGTTTATAAAGCATTTACTCTTTCCTTGTATATACAATGAAATAAGCACCCAGCCAGACACTCCTTTATGTTTTTGTAAAAATTTTATATTCTTTTATTCTAGGGAATAATGCTTCAATACATATAGAGGTGGACCCCAGACATCCTACTATGCTTCCTGAGTGCTGCTTTCTTGGAGCTGACCATGGTGTGAGATCTCAGATTTAAATGATTTAACAGAATCATAAAATCCTTGTTTACTATTGTTAAAATGTCTCATCATTTTGAACTGTGTACTTTTGGGTTTTTAATATATTTCATTTTCTGATCAAGTAGTTAAACAAATTCTATAGTTAACAATATTATATTGTACATTTGAAAATTTTGTGAGATCTTAAAACTTTTCATCACAAGAAAAAAAAAATCTATAACTATATGTGGTGATGGATGTTAACTGGTGGTGTACACCTAAAACTGTTATATATATGTCAGTTCAAATTAGGGACAAATTGTGTGCCAAATATGGTTTTATAAAATGAGAACAACCCCTAAATTATTAAACTTTTTTTTTTATTTAAATATTTGAAGTGGTGAAACCCCTGGGAATTAAGCTGAGCAGAAACATACATTTGTGGTAGGTATCTTTGCAATAGAATTGTTACTTTTCTATGATTTTACAAATTTAATTTAAAAACATTTTTTTCATGCTTTCAGGGATCCAGAAAATACTCTTTTGCAAAATTTAAAAGATGTTTTAGAAATTGATTTTCCAGCTCGTGCTATCCTGGAAAAATCTGTAAGTTTTTTCATTGCTTTGATATTCCAAGCAGGACTGCATAATGCAAGTTAAGTGTTCTTTTAGGCACCAGAGAAAAATGAGGCTGAAAGTGAGAGAATTGGAAGATTACGACAGACTTCTGAACTGCAAGCCAGTTGCATCGAAGAACTTGTTAACCTTTGATTGGTGGTTATAAGTGTACTTTTTTCATGGTCTTCATAACAGTGAATTGATTAATGACAGACATCTTTATTATTAAAAATAGAGGGAAAGGTCCAAAGCAACTAACGAGATGTCTGGATTTTCTATCCTCTCGGCTTCTGGATGACTGAAACGAAATCCTGATGAGCTTACTCTAGGTGTTTGTGAGGATGGCAGTACCGTTTTTCAAAACTGAACAGACACCACTACACTGCAGATACACTTAGAATTGATTTTTGACAAAGCTGCTAAATTATAGACTACTAAAGTGGTTGAGATGTTTTTGTCTTTTTCCTTTAGTTACACAATTCTGAAGTTTAGTTAGTAATCCCTAGCTAATATCAGCAGTTCCTATTTTTAAACACTAGAGTGTATATTGATGTACAATATGGGAAAATTACTTAAGCCCAAACATCTTGAGACAAAAATATAATTTTTTAAATATGTCTCTGTGTATAATTTATTGGATGAAAAAGGGAGTACTCTCAAACAAATAGCTTTTAAGTGCTACACAGTACCGTGATTCTAGTTTCTATAATACAGTGCTATAGTTATCTTTATAAAAACTGTAATTATAAAAATTTAATATTGTCTATACCATATTATTCATTCTCTCTTACCTCATCTTGTATGTTTTAAACACACACAGTTATAAATATTTCTTTTCTTTTGAAGGATTTTTCTATGGATTGTGGAATCTGCTATGCCTATCAACTTGATGGTGCCATTCCTGATCAAGTGTGTGATAATTCCCAGTGTGGACAGCCTTTCCATCAAATATGCTTATATGAGGTAAAATAAAAATAACATCAGAAATATTTTTTTCAGGTAACACAACATAGGAAGAATGCACATTTGACATGTTTAGACTCTTCAAATCTATTTCAATATGATCTCTTTTGCCATTGGCTCCGGCATTACTAGTTCATTCCAGATGTCCATGTGCTTCATTTCTTCATGTTTTTTCATAAGTGAAGAAATGTCCTAAAATATCCAGAATATATTTATGGACTACTACTGACACACACATTGATGGAACATTGGAATCTTTCAGTAAATAACTCGTGTAACGATATGCAGACTCATCCGGTTGGGAGTAGTGGTGGCAATAAGATGAAAGAGAACTAGCACTATGGAGCATCTATTACTTTTCAGGCTAGATTTAAGTATAGAATAAATGTAATAATCTTACTTTGATATTGAGAACACATTTTGTGACCGGAGTATCTCACAGCACTCTTAGTCAGTGACACTGCCTTTAAGTGAAGTCTGCTTTCATTCACTCGGTATAGCAGTCATATTAGGGCACAGTTCACACATTATAAACTATATGTACATCAGTATACAAAACACCTTGCAGTTGTCTGGTGCATTCGATTCTGAGTTCTCCCTGGTATCACTACCTGATTTTTGTGATTAGATCTAGTAGTTAGTGCTGTCTGCATTTTAACAAGGGAGAACTGAGGTTGAGATGCCAGTTTACCTTACATAAAATCATAAAATATCAGTTCTAATGATAGAGATCTTAAGGGGACATGTGCTTTCTTTTATAAAAATGAATATTTAATTTTTAAAAATGAACTGTCTCATGCTTGTAATTAATGGTTGAGAATTAATATCTAAATTTTCAAGAGCCTATGGTATCTTTCACATATTAGTTCTTAATTTGTGATTAATATATTTAGGTAGGTCCCCCATCACCTGTATGCATTATTTTTGTGTGTTTCGGGGGCCTGTAATTTGGTTATACACCAGTGTTAATTCAGCACATCAGTAGTTTGGAATTGGCTCAGAAAATGTTCCCCTTACTCTTGCAAAAGAAAATTAAGAAGGTAGACTTCTGGAGTGTCCGTAAGCATGCTAACCCTGTTCCCTTTATCTCCCTTTAAAACTGTCAGTGGTTGAGAGGACTACAGACTAGTAGACAGAGTTTTAACATCTTGTTTGGTGAATGTCCATATTGTAGTAAGGTAAGTAATCATTTCATAAAATCCCTTAGCTTTTAGTTGTGTGTTTTAGAAGATATCTATATACCAGCTTATCTAAAACTTTTTGAGGTGTAACTTATGTACTTAAAAAGGAAGTTTCTGTAAGATAAATTGTCCCTATAAATAACATTTTAATTTTCAAATTGCTCCTTTGATAAAAGAGGTTAACCCCCTTTTTTAGAATGACCCTTTTTAAAATTTTCTGGGTGATCTGAAACTTCAGTAGTTTCCAAACTGTATCATGACACCATTTCTAGTATAAAACAAGAATGTTCACAAACTTACTGTGTCAAATGCATTCTCTCTTTTTATAAGCCAATTACCTTGAAAATGTCTGGGAGGAAGCCCTGAAATAAGAATTTTAACATTTCTGTGAAGAACTGGAACTTGAAAAACTGCCAAAAAGATTTTGTTTGATACATTCAGAGAAAATATAAAGCAAGACCTACTAATATCAGAAGAAAAAGAATGGTGAAGCCATAATAATATACATCTGCCTTTGACTCTTCACTAAGGGTAAACTGGGAAATTGCAGGCCAAAAGCCTGTGGTACTTTCTAAGTCTGTGATTCCCATACCAGCTGTAGAGGCGCATGTGTACCAAGGTGGACATCTTGACTTGTTGAATGTCTGTGGACTTGTAAAATCTTGATGGGGTTCATAAAATGAGTTGGGGAACTGCATAAAGCTGTCTTTTTGCGGAGAACGTCTTACTGCATTCAAAAATTCTTGCAACTCAGAATATTTTTGTCTTCTCCTTGTGCTTTCCTATGGGAAAATACATATATACTGTGTTAGATTTGAGTTATTTATTTTACCTGAGAAGTTATTTTTAGATCCTGGATATTAGTTTATAAAGTGCTTACAAGCATCCAACAGTCAAATATAGTTAATTTGATTGGTTCTCTTAACTTATAATCCAAAAATAAGAATATGAAAACTGAATTTTCTTGGCAAGACCAAAAAAAACACAACATTTAATCTTATGGGCATCAGATAGTTATCAATGACCAAGAAGCTTTCTAATTATGACTATTATAGTGATTACTATAGAGATTCTAGGGAAGCAAGATGGCTGCGCACCCCCTGAATGAAGTGGGCTCTGGAGGTTGACACTTTCCTATAACAGACCTCAAGACACCTGCTTAATATCTTTATTTGTCCAGAAAGTTGATCTAAGAAAAGATGCTCACTCTTACCTCCTAGCAAAAAAGGAAACAAGCTTTTACAGTGTCAAACCCGAATGCCTAGAAGCATACAACAAAATTTGTCAAGAAGTGTGGCCCAAGATAAACCCTTGTACTTTGGTGAGGACTTGGAACATGTGTTATGGCAAGCAGGGTAACTAACTTGAAACTATTCTAACGAAGTCACACTGATACAGTTTTCCTAAAGTTCTGTCTGCTTAGTTTGCTACAGGCAAAATAAATGAATAGTAATTTCACTGGGTCAATAATATAGTATTGTTCTTCCACAAAGAAAAAGAAATATGCCATCTAACATTTTTAAAGGCTGAGAGCCACAGGTAAGTTAACTTCAGCAGCATCTATATATAACTTAAATGTGGAAGTGGATGATATTCCCAGCTAGATAAGAACAAAAGTCAAACTACTAAAATTTCAGGACAGAAACACGTGTATAACCTATGCATCTCTTTAAGCAACAACAAATGCTATCAAATGGGAAGCTACTCAAAGGATTTAACCACCAGTTGTCTCCTACTTTAGTGAGAGATCTGATTGGGATAGTCTGTGGCATAGGTTAGAAATCCAGCTCATTGGCTAACACCTTGTTTTGTGAATAAAGTTTTATTGGAACACAGCCACACCCTTATTTTATTTTTTTGTGTATTGGCTATTTTACAATGACTGGACCTTAAGCCTAAAATAATACTGTCTGGCCCTTTAAGAAAAAGTCTGCTGGGCCCTGGTCTATGGTGTTCTTTTTCAAACATTAAAAAGCATACAAGTCATTTTGGGATCTTAAGATGCAGATCTCATTCAGAAGGTATAAGAAGGGACCTTAGATTCTGTGTTCCTAAGAAGCCCCAGGTGATGGCAGTGCAGCTGAACGGCATCAAACACTTTGAGTAGCACGGGCTTAAGGTACCCAATAATTTATTCTGCTAGGCCAGTGGTTCTCAACCTGGGAACATTTTGTCTCAGGGACATTTAGCAATTTCTAGAGACATTTTGGGTTGTCATGACTGGGAAGAGAACTCTTGGCATCTACTAGATAAAGTCCATTGACAGCAAAGAGGCAGCACCCCACAGCCTCCTAACTGGAAAGCACTGCTCTCAGGAACTAGCAGAACGACAAGGGAAAATCAGCAAGGCTATAAAAGAAAACTGATACCATAAACCAATGAGATCTAACTGATATTTACAGAGCACTGCACCCCAGAACAGGAGAAATACATGTTCTTTTCAACTGCAATCAGAACATTGCCCTGGCTGGTTTGGCTCAGCGGTTAGAGCGTCAGACCACGGACCAGAGTCCCGGGTTTGGTTCCCACTAAGGGCACATACCTCAGTTGCAGTTTGTCCCCAGCCCCAGATGGGGCCGTGTGGGTGGCAGCCGGTCAATGTGTCTCTTTCACATCGATTTTTCTCTCTTCCTCCTTCTCTCCCTCCTGCTCTATCTGAAGACAAATGCAAAAAAAAAAGAAAACATTCATCAAGATAGACTATCCTAGGTCATAAAATAAACCTTAACAAATTTAAAACAAAATTATACAAATTATGTTCTCAGACAATATAAATTAGAGCTCACTTAACCGATAACAGAAATATCTAATAACCAAGGCATCACAAAAGAAGTCTCAAGGAAAAGTTCAAAATGTCTTGAACTAAACAAAATAAAAATAAACTATATAAGGATTCATGGGATATAGTTAAAATGGGGCTTAGCAGTACATTTATAGAATTAAATGCTTATATTAGAGAAAAATGAAGGGTTCAAATCAATAGCTTAACCATCCACCTAAACTGGAAAAAGGAAAATAAGCCAAAATCAAGCTGAAAGAAATAAAAGGGAAATCTCCAAGCACTTGAAAATTTAAAAACACTTGTCTGAATGGATCAAAGAGACCCAAGAGAAACTTAAAAATATATTGAACTGAATAAATATATATCAAAATATGTGAGACATGGTTAACACAGTGCTAGAAGGGAAATCTATAATACTAAATACCTATATTGGAAAGGAAGAAAAGTCTTAATTCAATAATTGAGACTTAAGTTTCCACTTCAAGAAACTAGAAAAAGAGAAAATAAATCCAAGAGCAGAAATCAATGAAATTGACAACAGGGAAAAAGGGGAAAATCAAACATTCAAAAGCTGATTCTGCGAAAAGACCAATAAAATTGAAAACTTGACTAAAAAAACCCAAAAAAACAATATACAACCAATAGCTGGAAAAAATACTACTACAGAATCCATAGTATTTAAAGGGCATAAATAAGGCAATACTATGAATAATTCTAAACATAAAAATATGACAGCTTAGATTAAATGGAACAATTCTTAGAAAACCACATATGATAAAAAATAACTCAAGATAAAATAGATTAGGAGGGTAAACTGGTCAGCAGGCCAAATCTTATGCACAACCTGTTTTTGTAGAGCCTACCAACTAAGAGTGGTTTTTTTCATTTTAAATGGTAGGAAAAAATAATTTGTGACACTTGAAAATTAAATGTAATTCAAATTTCAGTGCCATAAATAGAGTTTTGTTGGAATCAGCTACACTCGCTTGTTTATGTATTGTGTTATGATGCTTTTGTGCTACATTGCAGAGTTACTGAATAGTTGTGACGGGCCACATGACCTATAAAACCTATTTTCTTTCTGTCTCTACAGAAAATTTGGCCAACTCTAGAAATAGATCATCTGCACAATCTTAGTAAAGAAATTTAATTCATAGCTAAAAAAGAAAATAAATCTCTAGGCCCAGATGGTTTCTCTAGAGAATTCTCTAAAATATTAAAACAAACAAACAAACAAAAAACAACCAATTCTACTCATTCTCTTCTAGAAATTAAAGGAAAATTTGTCAACTCATGTTATGAAGCCACTGTTACCCTGATACCAAAAGCAGACACAGACAGTAGAATAAAAAGGAAACTACAGATCAATACTCCTCATGAACAGATACAAAAGTCCTCAACAAAATACCAGAAAATTGAATCCAACAACACATGAAAAGAACAAGACACCATGACCAGGTGGGCTTGATTTGAGAAATATAAGCCTAGTTCAATATTCAAACACTAATCAATGTCATCCACCATGTTAATACTTTAAAGATGAAAAATCATATGATCATATTAACTGATACAGGAAAAGCATTTGACAAAATCCAATATCCATTTCATAATTGTCAATATACTAGAAATATAATCAACTTGACCATAAATAGCTACTTAAAATCTACATCTACCATACTAAATGGTAAAAGGCAAAATACTGAAAACTCACATGTTCTTCAACACTAAATTCATACTTTAGAATACCACTTAGCAATAAAAATGAAGTATTGATAACGTGCCAAAACATGGATGTATCTCAAGGACATTATGGTGAATGAAATGAAGCCTCTCTCAACCAGTTACATAGTACATAGTTTGATTTAGATGACATGCTCAAAATGACAAAATTATAGTGATGGGGAGGGTGTGCTATAAAGCAACGTGAGGAGGTCTCATGACTGGTGTTTAATCTATACACGTAAAAAATTTCCCAGGGCCCTGCCCTAGTGACTCGGTTAGTTGGAGCATCGTCCTGTACACCAAACGGTTTTGGGTTCAATCCCTGATCGGGGCATTGTATGGGTCGCAACTGGTTGATGTCTCTCCTTCACATCGATACTTCTTTCTAAAAATCAATAAAAGCACATCCTCTCGTGAGGATTTTAAAACTATTTCACAGGAACGTACACACAAGTGACCAAACTAGTGACCAAATAAGGTCTGAATTTTATAGTAGACCATAGCAATTCCTGGTATTGAAAATCACACTCTGGTTATATAAGATGATTTAATTAGGGGAAGCTGGTGAAGAGTACATGGGAATTCTGTATTATTTTTACAATTGCTGAGTCTACAATTACTTCAAAGTAAAATGCCAAAAAAGTAAATTAAAATAAAATACAGGCTTCAAGTCAAGATGGTGGAGTAGTTAACCGTCTGTGTTCGCCTCACCCACAACCACATCAAAATTACAAGTAAACACAGAACCACCATCACGGAGAACTTCCTGAAATCTAGATGAAAGGAATCCTGTAACTGAACACGAAGAAGCCATGTGGAGACTGGTAGAAGGGGTGGAGGCGCAGGACTGGTCCCTCACCGACAGTTAAAACTCAGCGCTGTTAGGTCCCCCTGAGGAGTGAGGGATCCCACCTCCAAACCAGGCCCCCAAACCAGGGTCAGGTGCTGGGAAAATAGGTCCCCATAACTCTGGCTGTGAATGCCAGCAGAGAGGTGGCTGAGGAAGATGAGGACGTCTGGAGTCCCAGCTGTTTCTTTTAAAGGGCCTGCACACATGGACCCACTTGGAATCACTGGCTCTGAGCTCCAGCACTGGGCAGCAGCTTGAAAGATGCCAGGGACATAAGGAAGGAACTGAACTATCTGGCTTCAGGGTGAGGGCTGGAGGGGCAGCTTTCTCCCGGACAGAAGTGCTGGCAGAAGCAACCCTTCCTTCGTAGAACCCTCCACCCACTTTACTCCACATGCAGGCGGGAGCCATATCTGGGTCTCCATCAACCTGCCTAACAGCATTCGCCTTGCCCCAGTGATTGCCTGACACCTCCCCCCACCCAACTCTCATGCCCACCCAAGCAGCTTCCAGCGACATACTACTGGCCTGTCTTGACTCATGCTGAAGATGGTCCTAAAATCTCCCTAAGGTTCACAAACCCAAACAAGCAACATCTGGCCCCGAGGTTCCCCATACTTCTTGCTAAGCAGCCCCAAGCCCAGCACAAGTGTCAACCATCTGCAGATCATGGTAGCTAATACTAAGCGGCCCTGAGCAGGGCACAGGCAGGGGGTGACCTTGGCCTGCACAAGTACCACTCCCAAGAGAGGCCATATGGGAGGGGTGTTGGGAAGATGGGTGAAAAGGTGGAAGGGATTAAGATGTACAAATTGGCAGTTACGGAAACAGCAACAGGGATGTAAAGTACAGCTCAAGAAATATAGTTGACAATAATGTAATAACTAGGTATGGTGTCAGACGGGTGCTAGACTTATCAGGATGGTAAGTGATATAAATGTCTAATCACTATGTTGTATACCTGAAAGTAAGACCGGGTGGGGCAAAAGTAGGTCTAAGTTGACAGTATATGAAACATGTTTACTCTTGTATTATTATTAATGATTGTATTATTTTCCAAACAACTGCAAACCGACTTAGCTCCACCCTGTATAATACTGTTGTCAACTATAATTGAAAAGTAAAAATTAAAAAAATATGTAACAGTATTAAATATGCATCTAACAGAACATCAAAATTTATGAAGCAAAAACTCATAGAACCAAAAGAAAAAATAGACGAATCCACAATTACAGTTGAAGATTTTAAAATTCCTTTGTCATTAAGTGATGAAACAGTAGAACAGAATTAAACAAAAACAGGACAGAAGATTTAAACACTATCAAACAATTTAAATGTATAGAATAGCATAGCTCCAACTTCAGAAGACACATTTTTTTTTTATCCTCACCCAAGGACATTTTTCCATTTTTTATTCAGATAGAGCGGGAAGGAGAGAGAGGAAGAGAGAGAGAGAAACATCGACGTGAAAGGGACACATCGACTGGCCGCCACCCGCACCACACAACCAGGGCCGGAGACAAACTGCAGCCAAGGTACATGCCCTTAGCGGGAACCGAACCCGGGTCTCTGTGGACCACAGGCTGACCCTCTAACCGCTGAGCCAAACTGGCCAGCGCCAGAAGGCACATTCTTTACAAGTACACAAGGAACATTCACCAAGTTAGGCCTTCTGGGCCATAACACAAGTTCTAATGAATTTTAAAGAACAGCAATAATACATTATGTATTAGAAAACAGTAACAAAAAGATAACCTGGAAATCTCAAAAATATTTAGGGATTAAATAACATACTTCTAAGTAATCCATGGGTCAAAGAATAAGCAAGGGAAATTAGAAAGTATGTAACTGAACAAAAATGAAAACATGTAAAAATTTATGGAAAACAGCTAAAGCACTGCTTAAACATGTATAGTTTTATATTTTAGAAATGGAAAAAAGTTTAAATCAATTATTTAAGCTTTCATTATGAAGCTTGAAAGAAAAGAACAAATTAAACCTAAAATAAGTAGAAGAAAGGACATGATAAAGAATGGATATTAATGTAACAGAAATCAGATCAATAGTAGATAAATCAACAAGTCCATACTTTGGTTATTTGAAAAGATCAATACAAATGATAGGCATCTAGTTAGATTTTATATATATGTAAAAAAAGACAAAAGAAGAAACATTGAGTCACCATTATCCGGAGTAAAAGGGGACAAGATATCAATGTGGATACTGAAGATGTTAAAATAAGAAGAAGAAAATATCATGAATTACATATTGATGACAAAATGACAACTTAGATGAGATGGACAAATTCCTTGAAAGATACAAACTACCAACACTGACACAAGAAGAAAATCTGATGATCACTATATCTGTCATAAAGAGTAAATTCATAATTTACAACTTTCCTACAACAGAACTCTAGAACCAGTCGGTTTTCTTACTAAATTTTATCAAACACATAAAAGACAAATCTTACTAAAACATTTCCGGAAATATACTTCCAACTCATATAACAATCTGAGAATAAAACCACACAAGTATATATATTAAGAGAAAAGTACATTATAGACCAGTATCTCTCATCAGTGTAGACTTAAAATCCTTAATGGAATAATAGTAAATCGACTTCAGCATGACAACATGTCATGACTAAGTGGGGTTTATCATTCAAAAAGTTAACATTCAAAAATCAATGTAATTCCTTACACCAGTAAAGGAGAAAAATCATATGATCATTTCAGTAGACCCATAAAAAACATTTAATACCCATTTATGACTTAAATTTATATCCAACAAACTACAAATATAATAAAATTTCCTGATAAGGGCATTTAGGAAGAACCTACAGCTAACATCACACTGGTGAAAGAATGCTTTCCCTGTAGGATCAGGAACAGAAGCATGTATGCTCACTCTCACTACTTCTAATCAATGTATTATTAGAGGTCCTTGCAGGTGTAGAAGTAAAACGCTATTCACAAACATGATTGAGTATGTAGAAAATCCTAATAATTTACAAAAAAAAAAAAAAAAGCTACTAGAACTAATAAGTGGATTTAGGAACACTCAAAGACACCAGGTCAATATACAAAATCAATTGTATTTCTATATACAAGCAACAAATAACTTCTTTATTGGAAATTGAAATTTTCTGAATTTGAAATTTTTAAAAAATGACATTTACAATAGGATCAAAATATAAAATATTTAAAGGTAACTTTAATGAAATATGTGTAAAATATCCACACTGAAAATTACAAAACACTGCCCAGCTGGTGTGACTCAGTGGTTGAGTGTCGACCCATACACCAAGAGGTTGCTGGTTCAATTCTTGGTCAGGGCACATGCCCAGGTTGTGGGCCCGATCCCCAGTGGGGGGCATGCAGGAGGCAGCCAATCGATCATCTCTCTCATCAGTGTTTCTCTCTCTCTCCCCCCCCCCCATCTCTCTCAAATCAATAAAGAAAAACAATTTTTTTTTTAACTACGAAACACTGTTGAGAGAAATGACAGATCTATATAAATGGAGAGAAGTATCAGGTTCATGCACTGGAGGACTCAGTGTTGGGATTTCAGTTCCTCCTAAACCGACCTTTAGATTTCGTGTAGTCTCCATCAAAATCCCATTTTGCTTATTAGAGTATATTGACAAGCTGGTTCTTAAATTTTGGGGAGGAAACCAGGACCTAGTCTGGCCCAGCCATTTTTGCAGACGAGGAAGGGCTGAGGACTTGCACTCCCTGATCAGAGCTGGCTGTGTCAGGGCAGCAGCTGGCACGGTGTGGACTGATGGCGAGGGCAGACAGACTGACGGGAGAGAAAGTCCAGAGATGGACTCACACTTATCCCGTCGGCTGACTTGAAAAAGTCTCCCAAAAAATTTTATTAGGAAAAGGAAAATCTTTTTAACAAATGGTGCCGGGACAACTGGCTTTCTATCTGGGAAAGAACGAATCTCAACCCCTAGCTCACACCATAAACAGTGATTGATTTGAGATAGTTCATAGACCCAACATGAAAGCTAAATCAATAAGCCTTCTAAAAATATATATGTAAATAGCAAAATTACCTTGTGACCTTGATGCAGACAAAGGTTTCTTAGGTTTCTTTACCCAAAAAAAAAAAAATTTAAAGGAAAAAATTAGTTAATGGAATTTCAAATAAAAATAACAAGTAGCTTCTGCTCATCAAAGACACTGTTAAGTGACAGCTGTCAGAGGGGTGGGGACAAGAAGGTGACGAAAGAAGGTGAAGGGTATATATGCATAATCCATAGACACCGACAGCAAGGTGGGGTTGGCCAGAGGGAAGGTGGGGCAGGGGCTGGGTGAAGGCGGGCAAAGGGGGGGCAAAATGGGGACATCTGTAATAGTGTCAGCAATTTAAAAAAGACACTTAAATAAATAGGGAGGCTGCACCCTAAGGAGAAGTTATTATCTACAATATAAAGGACAGGAAACTTATATGTGAAATACATAAAGAAGCCTTACAACTCAGTAATAAAATGACAAATAAAAGTGGATGAAAACATTTAAAAAACACTTCACAAAGGAAGGTATATGAATGGGCATTTAACACATGAAAAGGTGCTCAAAATTATTAGTCATCAGGTAAGTGATAATTAGAATCACCATGAGATACTAACACACACGTTGGGATGGTGAAAATAAAATGATTGATATCATCAAATGTTTGGAAGATGTGGAATGGCTGGAACTCTTGTCCATTACTGGTGGAAGTATAAAATGGGAACTATTTGTCAGCTTTTCAGAAAGTTGAATATGTGTTTGGCCTACAATCCAGCAATTCCACCTCTCAGGAAAAACAATACCATAGCAGGACTTGTGTCAGAATGTTTATAGCAACTATACTTGTGGCTAGAGCCAGGGAGCCCTGGTGTCCATTAGTAAGATGATATGTGAATTATGGTAAAATTGTACAATGGAGTACTTACTGTTCAACAAGAAAGAGAGAAAATTACTAATACATGCAACATTGTGGATAACTCAAAAAACACACTGAGTGAAAGCCAGACACAAAAGAATGCATACTGTATGACTACATGTATGTGAAATTCTAGAAGAGGCAAAACTAATCTAGTGATGCGAATCAGAGTATCAAAACTGTGGTTGTCTCTGAGGGAAAGGGACTGACTGAGGAAGGAAACAAACCACTTTCTGGAGTGATAACATCTGTACACATCACACTGTCATCCCAATGAAAATGACTTGGTTTCTCTGCTTGGAACCTGGGCATCAGCATTTGTATAGTCCCTCCCCACTCCCATACACAGCTAATTCTGGTGCACAGTAAGGGTTGAAAAAGCACCCTCAAGAATTGACTCTATTTTGTCACCAAGCAATATATGTCTAATTTTACAAGTAGAAACTATAAGATATGACCATTTGAAGTAGATTCCTCATAATTAAAAAAGTGATGCTGCTATTATTTTGTAAGAGAATAAATGCAAAAGATTCCTGTTAGTACAAAAAAAAGCCTCCTTCTCTCTGGATAAACGTGTATGCTTACTGGCTGGAGAAGGAATGCCTGACTGGTATGCCTCTGAGTTTTGCCTTGGCTGCCAAGAAGTTCAGAGCCAAATTCAGGGCTCAGTTTAGTGATTAACATCCCAGCTGCCAGATATACCAATTGGGGGGGGGGGCAGGTAGAAAAAGGGGGCATTAAATTATTCTATTGCACACTGTAAACTAACTCAAATCATTTTGGGAAAGATGGTATATTAATCATACAAAATATTGGCCTTTCTGGGAAGAAATTTTTTTCACTGCAGATATAAATACATTGTACTCTTCTTGTCAGAAAGGTTAGATTAGGAGAGACTCCTGCTGTTGGCTGAGTGAGTCATCTGCTAAAGGTGAGTCACTATCCAACCAAATGATCAAATGATGTAGAAAAGACATCATTTTAAACTACAACCATATTGACAGAGAAGCGCTCACTTACCCTTGGCTACGAGGGTCAGACGGGAGGAGGCAGTGTGGAAGCATGGGGTACGTTAAGAGTCCCTAATGGATCCTAGATGGCATAAAGAATTTAAGTGCACTTCATTACACTCCTAGGCGAAAGGGAGATCAGGTCTGTACGCAAATGTGTCCACTGTCATTCTTTTTCTGTGATAACTGGTGTTGGCTGCTTTGATTCTAGCAGCTGGATAGAACATTCCCTGTCCCTTCTCATTTAACAAAACTATACAACCTTGGCCCTCAGAAGAAAATAAAACGTCTTTATTCCCAAAGGGCATATTCTAATGTAACATTAAGGAAAAAGAAAAGCCTCTCACCTGCGCGGTGTCTTTGTTCAGCGATCCAATCGGCTTCTCCTCCTTTTGCACTGTTCTCCCTGGTGCGCAGGACTCAGCACCTCTCTCACTGGGGACGGTTTTTTCTATTAACCTATTTCGCATCTGATTGACTTGCTTGGTTGCAGCCTTTTGCGAATCAACCTGTTGATATGGAGTAAGTAATAATATATAATGAAAACTTGTGACATGTAAAAAAATGCATTCATGTCCCGATTCTTGAAAATTCTAAACTTGCCAAGCTTTGAAAAAAGAAATACAGAGGAAACCAACAAGTGGACGTTACAGAAAAAATACAGTAGTTGGCAAGATCCTGACCCTTTCTCATCAGTAGGACAAGACCAATTAAAATTAGTGTCTCTGTTGTGCACTCTCTGGAAATTATCTCTACAGATAACCTGCTTATGGAAACAGCACTTTTACAGAAAACTGTCACATTTGAAAACTGCACATGAATTCATTATTAACCTTTGCTGGGAGTGGATCCAGTGTATCTTTTTAGTTTAAATTCTTATTAATTAGAATCTTAGTTTTCTATCACTGAAGTGAGCCTAATTAATGTGAATGTGTAAAGGCAGCTTATGATGTTGCTTACGTTTTCGTGCAGGTAATTTACCCTGTAAGCAGGTGAGTAGCAGTTCATGTCATCTAATACTGTGTACCAGTATCAGAGGTTAAGTTCTACAACAAGCTTGCTTCTTAGGTTTCTTTTTCACACCACGGTGTTATCTGGGGGATGACTGACTCTTAATAACCCTGAAGTAGACAGGGAAATGGAAGCGCAGATCCCTCAATACAGCTGGATGATTGAAAGCCACAGTGAAGGTCCTTATGTGAAGTATTTGTTCAGCAGCTTCATGTTTATAGCAGCTGAAAGTGCCATCACCTTTTCTCATGGGTTAAACAGGGGGCAGGAGATGGGACCGGCACCAGGGAAATAATGGAGTAGCCAGTGCCAAAACAGAATGAATTACACTGGCCGGACAAGCAGAGCCTTCAGATGTAGTCTCTCAATTTTTAGCTTCTACTGCCAAGTGTGTTCACTCTTTCCCTTTAAAGTATGCCGGTGTTTTGCGCCTAGGTCTAAGTTGTCACAACATCCTTTATTCACCCTCCTCTCGGATCCCAGCTTCTCGGGACAGCAACACCGCTGTCTTTCAGTAACCTGAAAATTGAAATTGCTTCCCAATCACTTGGGGGTTCTTTATTTCCACCACTCAACTCTCCCACACTACTGGAGAAATTCCTGTGTATCCACCTCTGAGCCACTCTCGCGTTTTGGTAATAAATGCTCACCACACTGCTCAGTGTGAAGCAAGGACTTTCCCAAGGCTGTTGTACGCAGTTTTGTCCTAATACAACACTGGCTTGCCAATCACCGAGAAAACGTGTTCTATGGTGTAAAGGATTAGTTGAGATGTTGTTAGGCAGGTTAGGCCTGACAGTTTTGCTCTGGGAGCCTCTGATGGGCAAAGATTTGGGCTAATAGACTCAGTCCTCTGAGGCTGGGTCTGCGGTCAGGTGGCTGGACGGCCAGGCTGTGCTGCAAGTCACCTCCGCCTAATGCATGACACGACAGCCGCTCTGCAAACGTGCTATTTCTAGGGGAAGTTTTAAAGTGCACAGAACCCTTAGTTGTGAACACGGTCAAAATTGTTCTCAAAGTTATAAAAATACAGAAAACACTGGGCATCCCACAAAATCAAATAAAAGGAAGCTATCCAAATGTGTGTCATTTTGAGAAAGTGGCTCTTCAAACAACGTACTTTTTTTTTTTTTTTTTTTAATTTCCACTAGTACTTCACACTGTTCTACAAAATCAGGAATACTTTTGGACCCTTAAAACTTAATATGCCAAAAATGTGCTTATAATGGAGAATTTATATTCTACTCTTCTCACAGAAAGTAAAAATGAAGACAGGTTTAATAGCATTATTTGAGAATGAAAGCTCAAGAAAGAATGTTGTAAACATCAAAGTTCAGTACAAAGATTGCTACTACCAATAACAATATATTCACCTCTAGCACTGCTATGGGAACCTCCAATTTAGAGTGAATGTAGGAATAAACCTTTACTGTCTGAAATCTGGGTTACCTTGAGCATTTTAACTCTGACCTATAGCTACTCCTCTGCCTATGGAAAGCATTTAAGAAGGATGGGTGGCTTCCTATACCCAGGTGTCTATACTATTAAAATATGGATTCAGGTATCATCTTAAGGAAGATGATATTGATAAACTGATAAAAGGACCCACTATACTGGCTCCAGAAGAAACAGCTGATTCCAGGGTGGAACTGGAACTTCAATAATGCTGGTTTTTCAATTTGGCTTTAGCATTCTCATCTGGGAATTCTAGAGCTTTAGCTCACCTCAGTAAGCATTCTTACTGAGAGATGGTTTCCTTCAGTGAATTTTAGACATTAAATCCCAGTGGATGGCATAAATAGACTGTGGTAGCCCTGATGACAGATTCTTCTAATTTGTCAGTGCTACCCAGGAGCCATCAGTGCGGCTAGAGGGTGATTTCAGCTACATCCACCGTCATTCTGACGGAGGCAAATACCCCCAAAGATTTGCTTTTCAGGAAAAAATATCAATGTCTGTGCCCTCTTGACAAAAATTCATTTCCACTTTAATTCCAGTAACAGTATTTGAGAACCTCAAGAAGAAGGTTCAGTTTACAGGGAACAGTTTATGATACCTAGTAAAACCCAGTACTGAAAAATAACTCATTTTTCTTTTGCAAAAAGATGATGTAAGTTTGCTGAGGTTCTTACAGTGATGTGATTATTTTCTAATACCTAACTAAAACATATTTTTAAGAATTCTAAATTTACAAGACACAACCACAAACTGAGGGAAATAAAGTTTTTAAAAATTAAACATTCATAACTTTCCTCTGAATACGGGATGATAGAAACATTTTATTTATCTAAGAATAAACATTTTTCTGGTCCACTGGCTTCTTCTTCAGTATCTTTGTCTAAAAGGTACAAGTCCAAAGTTCATTCACTAAACTGTTAAATAACTAGAGTGATCCATGTGTAGAGTAATGAGCAATGTTTTTAAGAGAATTTTAAGGCGACTGCCCAAAAAGAGAAGAATTTGGGGCCATGTGATTAATATCCATTTTGGATTTAAAACTGTAGTTGTTATGGAAGCAATCAATTGCGGAAACCATCCTTACTGTGCAGAAGGACGGGATCTAGGACAGTTTATACTGTCACACTTGGCTTTTGAACATTTTCAAGTTTGGTTTTTTCCAGCATCATAAAACCTGTAAACTTTAAAAATAAAAATTAAGACACTAAGGTTTAGCCACATATAGTGAACCTATATTTTATACTATAATTATTCAATGTATTTATATACTTAAAATATTAGAGAAATTAGGTCATTATCCAATACATATTGATATGCTATGAAATATATCTCCAAATCATATTTTCTATACGAGGCTGATCATCTTGTTAATAGAAACTAAGGTCTTAAGAATGTATATTATTCTTAGTGTTTTCTTTTTACTTATCATCAAAGTGGTCTGATCAGAAGAAAAGAGTAAGATATTTCTGATTGAGGCTCATTGGGAAAAAAATGTTTTATGTTCTGTTCTCTGCATATTAAAATAGTTTCACAATCTCCTTAGAATTTGATGAAACTGAAAATTCTGGTGAATAATTAAAATTTTATATCAGAGGATACAGCTATTGGTTTTTAAAATGGCTTTTTTATATTTTAATTAAGTTTATGAAACTGAAAAACTCCAAAAAAGGAGGAAAATACCCTCCTTAAATTAGTGCAGATTAAATGGTGACCATTATGGCAAGGGAAATACTATGTCAAGGAAATGGCTCTTTGTTTTGTTGCAAAAGTGATAAAAACACAAAAGTCAACAAAACTGTTAACATAAGTCTCCGTAATTACCAAGATCAAAATCCAGTGGCTTTTTATTAAACATGAACTTTTGTTCTGCCTCCTGCAATACGTAAATAGTGCTGACAATTGGTTTGTGAGGCACTTGCTATAGTAAAATGTAATTGTATCATGAGAGAAAGGTGACAATCAGGAGATCATGAAAAAATTACATATTCTCACTGGTAGTTAATTAGCCATGCAAAACCTCCTCAAACAGATATTCTCTTCTATTAGGAATGATTACTATGCAGGCCTACAGATGTCAATACCACAGTCATTCAAATACTTCTTTCCCTACTAATTGAAGGTTGTAAAGCTCTGGTGTCAAGGTTTTGCTTCCAAAGAGCTAATTTATGACTAGAAAGATATTTTATGTCTTCAGTTGCAGCAGCTACAAAATTCAGCAAATCAGAACCATCTGTGCTCTGATACTTGCCTCACCGTTCAACCGGCAGCCTATCAGTCACACTGGTTTGCATCCTGCATTCTTGGCTCGTGAACACTTGCGATGATCCAAAGTTCATAAGAAATATTAAAAATGAGTGGCGTCCTGACCCCACCTTATTAGACACGCATGAGGGGAGAAACGCCCTCCCACTTTTGCATGTGGATAGTGTTAAGAAAGAAGTGGCTATTGGGTTACCTGTCCAGCCAGTCACATTGCTGACAGCAGTCTCAGGTCTCCCCCACCCTCTTAAAAAATGTTTTCTCCTAATTCTTTTGTATTTATTGTTTTAATTCTGTTTTCAAGTTCCTTTTTTTTTGAGTTGGTGTGAGGAGCTAGTTGGAAAACAACTGAGTAAAGGAAGAGATAAAACTTAAAAAAAAAAAAAAAAAGAATTGTTTCTATAAATTGAAATATCAGCCCTGGTCGGTTTGGCTCAGTAGTTAGAGCATCGGCCCGCGGACCAGAGAGACCCGGGTTCGGTTCCTGCTAGGGAATGAACCTTGGGTGCAGTTTGTCCCCGGTCCTGGTGGAGTCCTGAGGGTGGCAGCCACTCGATGTCTCTCTCTCATGTCGATGTATCTCTCTCTCTCTCCTCCCCTCTCTCTCCCTCCCATTCTATCTGAAGATAAATGCAAAAATGTCCTTGGGTGAGAATAAAAAAATAAAAAATCGAAATATCAGCACATACAGATAATTTACTCACGTCTAAGAATATTACCACCAAATCATGGCCAACTTGGTATGCAAAAACGGAAATAACTAAAGAAAACCTAAAGAAAAGCAGCAAATAAAGGTTCTCATCAATAAGGTCAGATTAGACTTAACCTAGTCCTATCTCCATGACGACAGTGACTGCTGGAGTTCTTTAATAGTACACAACGGACCACAGATCCTACTATTTTTCTGTAAGAAACGGTATGTCAAAAAGACTTTCAACAAAATTTCTTGGCGCTGAGTTAGGGAAACAGGAATTAAGTATAATAAACAAGAAACTGGGTTGTCAAACTCATTTGAAACCTAAAACAACCTCATTGGGAAGAAAGTGTCACAGAAGATAATCGTAAGATCCCAGGACCATGTTACTTACTTTTTGACAGTCTGGAGTATGCACACTTACACTCTCTTCTTTAGTGGAAAATTCCAGTGGGTTAAGAATTCCACCTGGGTTCAGAATTTTCTTGAGCATTTGATAGTTTGGCTTTTCATCATATGCCAAATTATGAGCACATGCCAAATACTGGGCTATTTCACCTGTGAAGTATTAAATGTTTCTTTAAATGTCATTCATAATTGGCAAGGAATGCCAAGACCCCAGCATCCTCAAAATCTCTCTCTCTCTCTCTCTCTCTCTCTCTCTCTCTCTCTCTCTCACACACACACACACACACACACCATAAAGAAATTAAGAATGATCAATTCAATAAAAAGCACTATTAAAATGATATCCAAAATGACTGAAATCTACAGTGACCCAAGATGAGAGAAACTGGTAAATTTTTTACACATCTTTGTGCATACTTATTAATTTACTAATCTTATCAAAGAAAGCAAATTTTAAGAATGACATACAGTTAGTAATTTTGATTTATGGGTGTAACTACTAAGAAATACCTAAATAATACAATAGATCAAACGTGCTTTTTTTTTTATGTTTTAAAAATTCAGTTAAAAAAATTGGTACTTACTATAAACCTCCTTACTTCAAAGGAAAAAAAATCATTCCAAATTTTAATTAAGGCTTTGATTTTGAGATTATAACAGTTAATTTAGAAATGACCTTGATTGTGCGTGTTCAGCTGTGAGTGACTAGAATTCGCCAAGCCTCTCGAGTCCTCCACACCGACAGCCCGGTGTTCATGTAGCCTTCCTGATTTAGCGCAGAGGGGTGAGGAGTTGCCTGCCACCTTTTACTTTTTCTCTGCTATGATCTCCTGCCTAGGACTATAAGGTAACTCTCCTGCCCACCAAAAAGTTTATGAACGACAAACTTTTAAATACAAGTAGAATTCATAAGCAGAAGTTACAAACATAGCACCTTTGCACTTTCGTTTCATGAAGGTTCAATCTAAAAATCTATTTGCAAGTGATAATACCATACAGTTTAAAAACGGGCCCATTTTCATTTGTTTATGATGATGTTTAGATAGTCCACAAATTAATGTTTACAAGCCTTTCCCCTTCAAAAACATTACTGCCCCAGACACCAGTACTTTCCCACTAAGCTGGTTACATCCCATGGTAGGACCACCTGGGAAGCTCGGTGGGCTGGCAGGAGAGACATCCTAAACCCTTCACCTCCCCTCCAGGCCCACCTCTGATCACGTGGGGAAAGGCAGAAAATCAGGGTTTCACTGCCCCTAGGGAAAAATTCCAAAGGAACAGTCATCATCTGTTTTTCTTCCATGAAACTCAGAGAGTGACCATCGTACACCGTGCTGTCCACAGATATTCTCTAGGAACATGAGGCTCATGTGACTAAAAGGAGAATCTAGGCTCTAGGGTTTTTGTTTGTTTGTTTGACATATGATGGCAATTATGCAAACTACTTCCCCCCTCTCTGACTTATAAGATAGGTAAAATCTGCTCTTTAGCTTTCTATCAACCCAATTTCTATTAACTAGCGAGTGCTGTGGTTTCATCATATGAACAACTCATGTTTGAGGGGCCCTTTGAGGGCATCCAACTCCTGAAGGGATGATCAAGGAGAAAGCAGATTACATTACATCCACTGCTACTTGAGTATAAATATTCGGTTGTTCCTTGGGCCTTTCAAGATTGGTAAGCCAAGTTTGGTATATATTACAATTCTATTAACCAAAACATCCCAAATGGAGAACAGAGCCGAATGTGCTGGGAACACTTTGCAGAAGCCACTGCTAGAAGACAATGGAGGACTCCTGGCATTCGACCAACAGGTAGCAGCTGTTCTGCAAAGCCTTTGGGGTCTGGGGTTTGAAAAACTAGGTACCAGTGAGCTAAGGAGAGGGAGCAAAAGGAAAGAGCCACTTCTGTTACAAATTTATTATTACAAACCTGAAACATAGACTTCTGTGATGTAGTACTGGTTTCAATGTTAGCCTTTCAAGATCTGGATTTATTATATTAAGTACACTTTTTAATTTACTAGCATATTTCCAGAGCTATAAAACAAAATACTTGGAGTAGTATGAAATTATGATATTCTTGAATCATCCACTTTTTAAGCTAGTGAAATATTAAGTATCATTACTGACTATCATTTCAAGAGAGAGAAACTTTTGAAACTACTATGATTACACTGAGCTGGGCATGCACGCTGCAAACTTCTTGGCTGTTTTATTTTATAAAATGTCTTAGTAACAAACCTTTTGTAAGTCAGTTTAATTTTCTTGCTTACAGTACCCATTCTCTTAAGCCTAACTAATTAACTTAAGAGACCTTCAGTTAATATTAAGGTTCAACATTTTGTGCTTTAGAAATAGAAATCTGAATTTCATAAAATAATATTATAGACTCAAATGGCTTGTACCGAAGAGAGGAACCTGGCACTCCTCCCTGGAGTTCTGTGTCACTCACCTCTTCTTTTAACAAAGCTCTAGACATAGAAATGTCACGGAATACTATGTTGTATAACCCAGGGCATCTGGGCCTTCTTTTCTACCCAAAGCTGGACAGTTACCTATTGTGAGGAGGGACAGGAAAGGTACAGGAGATCTACAAGTAAACAATGTCTGACCTCTCCCCAGCTCTCCTTTGTGCTGTTCTGTTGAGTGAAACACAAGCTGTATGACTTGGTAAAAATGTCAATAGGACTATTAGCCAAAAGTGAATATTGGCATTTGGACAAAGTCACTCAATGTAGCTACAAAAATAGTACACTTTCAACTTTCAACCCCGCCCCCCAAAGTGAGAATCCTCTCCTGTGCTCCCCACTCCTTGAGAAGAAAAGCGACGGCGGAAAGTGGGGACACAGACCACGGTCTGAGGAAACAGAGGTGAGAAAGCAGATGTGGTTGGTTTCTCTTTTGTGCCCAATGACCATGAAAACTTTGATTTCTTGTCCAAAAAGGGCTATGAATATAAGTTTACGATGATTTAACTCTCTGAAACTCTCAGATGGAAACTGACACTGTTTGTTTGACCTTGGCTAGAGGGTCAGTGTTCGTGTTCACTTTCCTAAGCCAGCTGAAAGCGAACTTTGCGACTGCCCAGCATAAACAGAGAGCAAGGGTCACTCGGCTCCTCCCTCTGAGAAAAGCAAGCCTGCCAACCAAGGGGCTCCCTTCCGCAAGGCAGTGTAACTCAGTTGTTAAACTGGTGTTGATGTGTCCTGTGTGCGTCGCAAATGACAGGCACTTGGGCAATTCTGAACTTATTATTTTTAGTAATAATACTGTCAATGAAAGAACTCCAAAAATGGTCTATACTAACTTGGAAGGGAAAACCATTTAATGAAACATACCTCCAAATCCCAGCCTCACGTGTCTTTGCCAATCCAAAATTTTGTTGCTGGCTGTTCAGCCAGAATATAACCCAGGGTCTGAACATTCAAAAGTTTAATGAGTTTTTTTTATTACTCATTGAAAGCAGCCTTTTCTAAGATCAAACTGATCTTCTTTCAACAATATATAGTGGAACAATGATAGAAAGTCAGCTCTAGAAATACCAGATAAAGCTGACTATAAACCTGGGCATGATTCCCATAATATCCATTTATCCAAAAACAAATGCAGTCAGCAGAGCCTAGAAAGCTGCCTAGATACCTCCGGGCAGCGCTCTTGTGCTCTAATGCAGAAAGTGTCTAAGCAGCCTCTGCTCCAGCACCTATCTGTAAGTTTCCTGCCGTCCCTGCAGAACGGGAGTGGGTGGGGTAGAAGCTGTGAAACAAGAGTGTCAGATGTGGTGACCCGCAGAGCACACTGGAGAAGGCAGAGGTTATCATGTGACTCACAGCAGCTGCTTCCAGAAGGAGCCCATTTCAGCACCGACTCGGGGAGCTCATCCAACAGACTGAAACGAGAGAGAGCACAGTGAATGTCTGCGATCCCGTGATCCACTGCTTTGACTGGAAAACTAAACTCAAATTCTGAATTGGTGACTCACCAATACCTTGATTTTAGTACTTTTTTCACTCAGTGGTAAGAGGGAAAGTGGAGGTGGGGAAGATTCCCCAAATCTCACTGACCAGTTTTATGTCAATCATCTAAAAACTAAATAATGTAGAATGACAGATAAATGCTCTAATTGAAAATTTACATGTTAAAATACAGAAGTAGCAAAATCCGTGTGTTTTTCTTTTCCTTAAAATCAAGAAAAAATACATAGAAAAAGTGTTTTGGGATTTTGAGGATATTTTTCCTCAAGTACTTACCATTGGGGAGAGGTAAATTATTTAATTACTTATGTTTATTGTTCTCCATTGGGCAGTGTTTTACGCTGTCTTATGATCACACGGGTTAAAAAGAAATATCCAAAAAACAAAACAAAATAAAAAACAATTTCCAGTGTTTTAGGCTGAGCAAGTACAACTCTCAAGTTGCGTCAGCCGCAATATATAAACATTCAACTAAAATAACTGATATGGATGCGTGACTCATAAACTCAGACATAGGCAGAATTGCATCAATAAATGCACTGATCTAATATCACCCTATGTCAGAAAAATAAAGGGCATAAGGGAGATATGGTATCATGGCTAAATATGCAAGCATGCCCTTATGGAAAATTCAGTGTTATGCCTTCTCAGCAAGTTGAATAAATTATGATTACAGATTATAAATACTATAAGAAATTTGAAAATGTCTACAGTTTACCTTAATTATACACTTCATAATAGATTAGCTTTACTGATCTATATATAGGTTTTTACTAATAATCACATCAAAATGAAGATATTAACATATGTAAGAACCCCAAAATGTAAATAAGTTTATATTTATTAGCATTATAGTTTATTATTTTATATGATCCCCTATTATCACCCTGAATATACATATGTAAGCATAGTCATTCAAGATATCTACAAGGAATGCATCTGTCTTTGCATATTAATAAAAGACTAAAATCATTAGTAAGTCTTGAGAGAAAAACATACATATAATCACTAGAATTAGAAGGCTAATCTTTTTTTTCCTTTAAAACATTTTATTGAAATTTATAGCCGAGTAATAAGGCCAGAAAAAGAAATGGAGTAAAATTCAAAATAAAAAGAATAAAACAGTTTTTATTCACAGATAACATTATTGTATATGTATAAAAATAATAAGAATTAATAAATGGATTGGGTAAAGTTACTAGTAAACAGCAATACACAATTTAATTGTATTATTTATTTATTTATTTATTTTTTTAACCTCACCTGAGGACATTTTCCCATTTTTTGTTCAGACAGAGTGGGAGGGAGAGAGAGGAAGAGAGATAGAGACAGAAACATCAACGTGAAAGGGACACATCGAGTGGCTGCCACCTGCACAACCCAACCAGGGCCGGGGACAAACTGCAGCTGAGGCACGTGCCCTTAGAGGGAACCGAACCTGCGTCTCTCCGGACTGCAGGCCAATGCTCTAACTGCTGAGCCAAACTGACCAGGGCTTTTTTTTTTTTTTAATTTTTTATTTATTAATTTGTTTTATTAAAGATGTTTCTCATTATTCCCCCATTGACACCCTCCTCCCCTCCCCCCACCCCATTCCCAGCTTTGTTGTCTATGCACCAATTGGAAAGAATATATGTACCCCTATGTTCATAGCAGCACTATTTACAATAGCTAAGATCTATAAACAACCCAAGTGCCCATCAGTAGATGAGTGGATTAAAAAGCTGTACCCAATGGAATACTACGCATCTGTAAGAAAGAAAGATCTCTTATCCTTTGAGATGGCATGGAAGGACCTGGAGAGTATTATGCTAAGTGAAACAAGCCAAGCAGAGAAAGACAAATATCACATGATCTCACTTATTTGTGGAATGTAATGAACTAAACAAACTGCTGAACAAAATTAACCCAGAGACATGGAGGTGGGGTACAGGCCTACAAGGCTCGGGGGGTGGGTGGATGTTGTGGGGGAAGAGATAAACCAGAGAACTTGCATGTATGCATGACCAATGAACATAGAATGCTAATCTTTGAAATAAAGTATATTATTCAAATTAAGTAAACTAAGGTGGAAAATTGGATACCAGTACTGTTTATATACCTATTACTATGTTTTGACTTGACCCCTATACTGAAAAATGTCAGTTACATGGGGGTTAATATGGACACATCTATCACTGCAATAAATAACTGAGTAGATAGTTATAAGCTTGACTTATATAAATATGTTCATTTTGGGTGAGGGACTAGGATGATCAAGATTCCAAGTGGAGAAACATTTCATATAATATACAGTACGTCAGTATTTACAAATGTCATCTGTATTATTCTGCATCTCCAGCCAGCCTTTCTCTCTATTAAGAACCGATGCCACACTGAATTTGAAGATTTGTTTCTATGAATCGGCTACCCCTTTTGTAAACTTCTGTTGTAACATGCCCTGCTTAGAACACAGCTGCCTTTCCCAGCTGCGATATTGTATCTGTGGATAGTGACTGTTGAGCATATCTTAGTATATAATAAAAAAATAGCTATTCTGTACTTCATGCAATTGACATTTTCTTAGGTTTGATAAGTGAGAAAATGGTAAAATAGTAACACACTCTGTTCTCAGTCTGACCTAATTTTCATGCTAACAGATTCTAGCTGAGAAAAATCAAATGTGAAATATTAAAAATGTTTATAAGGCTGCAGGATTATCTTTTACATAAACACCTCATATAAAAATGTTGTTTGTTTCTTCTTTCAGAAACAAAATATACTCCCTCCAAGACACAGGATTAAGAAAGAGGTAGGTTGTTCTCACTTGACAAATATGGGCCATATTTGCCCCATTTCACATTGTTGCTTTGCGCAGTTAATATCCATCACACCCAGCTCAGACTACCTACATACACTTGCACAATGCTAATTCAAAAACACTCTTGAAAACACCACCCCCTAGAATCTAAGCTTTGGAAAACACCATGTGAAGGAACAGCTATTTCACTTTATATTTTGTATTACAACTCACATACCTGAGATTTCATAGGTGTCATCTTCATGAATTTTATGTCTGTCAGCTGTTTGGTTTTTTTAAACAATATTTTTTAAAGCAGATTAAGAAATCTGCTTTGGTTGTCCTGTTGGGTGAATGGCAATCCTCTCAGGAGAACTAACTCCCTTTTCTGGACCCCTTCAGACCCGTTGCTGTGTGACGGGATCTCTGAAAATCCTTACTTTGCTTTAGCAGTCTGGACAGCCACAGGGTCCCTCAGGTTCCGTTCCCAGGGCAGTTTCCCACACACCCACCGCAGCAGACAGTAGCCGAGGATTTCAAGGTCACTTCGTCTGGACAGGGCTATAGGAGTTAGCATTAAGAGAGAAAGATGAGGGATAAGCAAGTTTTGAGAAATAGAGAAATCACTGATTTAACTACTATTGATGAAATACGAAAAAGCCAAATGGCCAACGTGTTTTGTTTGTTCAGCTGGAGTAAAACTTAACCGTCTAGGCGTTTGGCTGCAGTCCACAGACAGGCAGTGACTTGTTGCTGCTGAAAGTAAGGGTCAGTTTCCTCACCTCCTCCAACTTCATCCTTCCTTAGTCTAGCCTGTCACATGAACTTGATCTCCATGGCCTCTGACATGATCCAGACAACCCATAACCTGGCACCAACACTTTCTCAAAGAGCCAAGCAGTAAAACAAAGAAATAAATGTCTGCAGCTAAATTGCTAACATATGTTCCAGGAAGTCCATGGGGTCTGCACTGGTCATGCGGAGACCCTTTGAGTGCAGACTAAACACTGACGGCCTTTTCTGTTCCACTCACACGAGTAGCATTTCAAGTTGGAAGAATATGACAAAACTGCCATCTAGTGAGCAGTATGAAAAAGCAGGTCTGTCTTAAGATTTTTCAATTAATGAACGTAAAGGATAAACTATGCCTACCGTTTTGGGTACACGGTTCTAAAATTTTATGAATATTATTTTTAGGTATAAGCAGCACTAAATTAAGCTTGCCGTCAAATATCCTGATGGAAAATATAAAGATGAGGCAAGGGTATGCATGGGAGTGTGGGCAGAGGTGGTGGGAGGCAGATTTTAAAGCCAAACAGAGGCTTTCAGCATTTACAAAATGGCTTTTTAAATAAAATACAGTAAAAGAACATTTTTTAGGCCACTGCAAATATCATTTATATCAAACTTCTAAATGCTGTAGACTAATTCTATCAAAATTTTATATTTTCAAAAGTGCATTTCATAAGATAGACAATAAAATCAAGAAACATGACAAATACAACAAATATTACTGAAATGATTAAAAAATTAACAAAATAAACTCATTCTTTTAACCATCCCAAACTGTTATAAAATGATAGGTTGGTATTTATATTTCTGCCTTTTCTTGAATGTTTACCTGTAGAGAGATAAACAATCTCCTAAATGTAATTTGTGGTTGTTAAGCCTTCTGTAAACAGGTATCTTATTTTATTATCTTTCATTAAATAAACTCCAAAAATCACTCAGTAAACTTAGTTTTTAATTTAAAAAGTTATCTACTAAGAACAATGCTGCTAGCACATCACAACTACTTTTGGTTACCATACATAAGTCATTATAAAAGCAGAAGACAAGATAAGCTCTTACACATACTCTATCTTAACTGCTATTTGAGTCTGGGATTATTAGGCCCCTCAGTCTAGCAGAATGCTACAATCCCATGGGGCCATTTACTTTCTGCACAAATTTCAACAATGTCCTAATGCAAGTCCTGGCTCTCGTATTAAAATAAAAACACAATCTCTACCACACGGTTTTGTAGTGATTTCTTTAGTAATAAATCTCCCATTAATAATGGAATGGTTCCATTTGTACAGATGTGTTCACAAGTCCCTTTTCCATTATGGCAATTTCTAATTACCACCACTTAAAAAAAAAATCACATCCTCTAATTTTCAAAAACTGAAATCCTGGCACCGGGTGGCCGACACAGGCTACACACTAGAGGCCCCTGAGGAAAGCACAGTCGAGAAGAAAAGGGGGTGAACCTTCCCAGCCACTTCCCTGTACCCACCCCCCGAAGGATTAATTGATATGAAGCAACAGTAATAACAAGTGATTTAGATTTCTGAACCAATCTTTCATAAACTAGCCTTCATTTAAAATGTTTTTAGAGTTAACTTTATTTCACTATAATAGTTTGGTCTTAACCTAATTAAAATACATTATCACATTTTTCAACTTTTTACTTTTTTTTTTTTTTTTTTTTTACTGCATACATACATTAGTAACTATGGTTAGGTAAGTGTTACCACTATTTCAGTTCAGTTCTATAGAAATATGTGTAATGTTTTTTAAAAATCCTATATTTTTGCCTGGCTGGTGTGGCTCAATGGTTGAGTGTCGGCCCATGCACCAAGAGGTTGCTGTTCAATTACCGGTCAGGGCACATGCCCAGGTCGAGGGCCCAGTCCCCAGTGAGGGGCATGTAGGAGGTGACCAATCGATGTTCTCTCGCATAGATGTTTCTATCTCTCTCCCCCTCCCTTCCTCTCTCTCTAAAATCAATAAAGAAAAAAACATTAAAAAGCACATATTTTTAATTTTAAAGTTGAAATACATATGGATTCCTTTATTTCTGTATAATTTGTATTTCTGTATAATTTACTATAACATATTGGGTTCTTCAGTTATATTTGATAATTCATATTATCATTTACTATATATTTTCACATAGACTTCCTAAAAAAAAAAATCAAACTATTATTTATGGTGTTACTCGACTGTAGCAAAATTTATTTTTATTTATTTTTTAATTTTACCCAAGGACATTTTTCCATTTATCTTCTGATAGAATGGGAGGGAGGGAAAGAGAGAGTGAGAGAGAAACAGCAATGTGAGAGAGGCACATCAATTGTCTGCCTCCCGCACAACCCCGACCAGGGTCAGGGACAAAATGCAACCAAGGTACGTGCCCTTGGCCAGAATCAAACCCACAACTGTTTGGTCCGCGGGCTGATGCTCTAACCACTGAGTCAAACCGGCTAGAGCAAAATATAGCAAAATTTAGTTCTTAATATTTTTCATCTATAGTCTCTTGTTACTTTCCAAATATAATTTCGCATTTAATTTTCATTTAGGTTATTAAAATGGAGCAATGTAAACAACTCTTTTCATGGAAAGCCTTGGTGTTCTCAATTGCTCGATGATATTTCTAAATTACAAAGTATCGCTAAGAGTAACAACAATTGAAAAAAAAGGCACAGGTAGGGACTTGAATTCTATTTCATTAGAAAGCTGATTAAAGAAACAGTTGTCTCTAAAATGCATAATTAAAATAAAAACAACTGATGTGATTTATGGAGCTGCTACTGTGCCAGACACTCTGACTCCTTTTATATTATCTCATTTAATCATCTAACAATGGTAAGTATTAGTAACCTTCTTGGCAAATAAGAAAACAGAGGCTCAGAGAGGTTAAATAACTCATTCAGCATCACGGAGCAAAGTTTGACAACGGAGCAAAGTTTGACAGAGCTCTGCACTGAATTCCATCTTTCAGAATCCAAAGCCCACATTCAATTTAATAATTACTTTGCCTCCCATACAAATTACTTTGCATGGTTAAACATCATGCAAATAACATCACATATACTACTTCTACAGTTAGGTAAGTATATGAAGTAGGTATTTTAATTTAAACCACCAGCAGATAAACTGATACAAAGAAGTTCTGTTGGCAAGGAATAAAGAAGCAGCAGATCCTGAGGTCTAAGCGGGAGCATGAACAAAGTTTTTCATGTGACTACCTTTTCAAGAAACTTTTTCTTTCAAGCTACTTCATTCTGATGAAGAAGAGTGTCTACTTAAAACATTAACTCATACAATGTTAAATGGTCCTTCCAAGCTGGTACAAGAACCGAGGAATTCCCTTCAAGGACTGGTACTTATTCTAAAAACAAACCGGAGTGAAATCATCTGGGCCCAATTCATCAAACGGAATGAAAGAGGAATTGGGAGAAAAGAAAAGTGCAAGTGTTAATCCCAAAATGAATCTGATTATTTGCCTAAAGGGTTTTCTGTTTAGTTTTATTTCTCATATAGAGTAACGTTATGAAGTGTGAAGAAAAACAAGTTTAGTAGGAAACAATAAAGTGAACTTGAAAACTTTTGCCTCAAGCAAACAAGAGTTTAAATGCCCCAAATACTAGATTATAGGCTCAGAAATGACAAGCAGAACACATCTGAGTAACATGTTCACCTGGCCAAGTGGAGGGTGATGATCTATAAAACAAATCTAAATTTTATTTTTCTAACTAGTAACCTACGTTATGCAGTGTTTTGTAAATTCAGATAGACAACAAGCTAGAAAATATTATGGTGGCCACAAGTTTTTGCAATTTGAAAAAGGTTATTCAGAAAAAAGAATGCAATGTGTGACATTGCAAATAAAATATTAAACCCAGGTCTCCCTTGTTTTTTCCATACTCTTTAAATTCTAAGCCTTAGTTTTTTTATGAAACACTACAGTGAGGGTCTTAGAAAAAGTTATTCAACTGAGCAAAACTAATGGCATCTTACATGTATGTGGTCCATGTGTATTTTTAACCCAACCAAACAGTCCCAGACCTACATCATGACTTTAAAAGTCATGTCTAAATGTCAGAACTGGGTTATGCCATGCAGAAGGAATCGTGTCTTCATTATTGTTTATTGATACATCAATCAAAGACTATTTACAGCAGTTAAGTTTACCTAAAAATAGAAATGAATAGTATTTTTTTCTTATTACTAACAGATCCAACAGGTCATATCAGTAACTTGATTTCCCTTGACATCTTACAACTGAAAAACAGGCTCCTTGTTTGAATTATTGTTTAAGAAGATAAATACTGTATCACTTCCCCAAGTTTGGTGACATGAAAATCCACTTTCAGTTTATTTCACATATATTTTGTAAGTTGGAGTGCTGAATTAGAGTGAAATGAAACCATGCAAGAAATAACACAAGACTTGGATTTCATATACAGTAGCAACTGGCAAAAATAAAAAAGTATGTAATATATCTTTTCTTGATACTGAATATATTACATAAACAAACAGACATTTAAAATGCAATTCAGATATCATATTTTATGTTCATCCATGATGTCAAATTAAAACAGGTATTATACACTCAATGCACAGGTCTGAAGTATTTAAAAAAGCTCGATATGTTAAATGCAGTATATCTCTAGAGAAATTAGGTATTGACTGCATGCCTCAGTGAGTAGAAAAATCTACAAAAATCTATACCACACATTGATCCAAATATTGCTTTTTTAACATTACTAAGAATGTAACAATTTTAAAATAGTGTATTTGACACAGATATAATTCTCTTTAATTATCAGGCAATGAGCCCAAAATATGTCAATGTTTATACATGTTAGTTTTTATGAAGAATACAAAATTAATAATAGAAGAGATAAGCCCAACATATATTACTCTAATTTTACACTAAATGAAGCATTTCAGCCACTCAGAAAACACCTTCTGGTTGTACAAGAGTATTGAGTTTGAAAGAGTAACTGCAACTTTTTAAAAACATACAGATATATAGATGTATGATAGTTTCAGAAAGTTATTTATCCATTCATCTGTCAATCTACTCACACATCTCTATGTATCTCTTTAGTTTGTAATAATACAAGCTACCTGCTTTCATAGAAAGTTGAACTAGAAAATGCTTAGGTGAAACTGCTGATTGGCACCTTAGACAAGCTCCTTCATTATAAAAATCCAACTAATCCACAGAAAAATGAGTTAGCTGTGGTTTATGAATAACCACTATAAAAAGTGCAGAAACCAGCTAGGCTGATCGGGTTAACAGTGCCTGTCGAATGGCTAATTCATAAGACAGTTTCACATTGAAGCCTGAACATTCCCGGGTCTGACCAGACACAGATGTACCTGCCACATGACACATGCTGTGACGACCAGAGGCTCCATTTCCTAGTGACAACTTGTTTTGTTCTTGATGTTTTCCTTTGCATTATCTTTCTAAGTAGGTATTTGATCTCCTAGTTGCACTGGTATAGAAAAGATTTTTCTGAGATTAAACTACATACTGACTGTACTGAAAGTAAACACATAAATATGTATGAATCTGACCTTCTGCATTAACCTACAGGACTAGTGGCCGTGTTTATTCTGGTTCCTAGATATGACTAAATAATTATTTCACTTCTAATAAATCCTAAAGTGAAACGTTTAATTTTGGAAAATTAAATGTAAAATATCAGGAATGAATTCAAACATTTGAGGATATCAAACCCTTCATTTTATATACCAGACTAAAATATATATGTAGTCTGGTATATAAAATGTAGCTCTGTGTGTATGTGTATACATATGTGTATGTATATACATAGGTATGTATGTATACCTATATGTAAATATAGATATGCCTAGAAGTTTAGTATAAACTCTATTTTAAATGCATTAGGGACTCTTTTGTAGGAATCCTATGCAACCTGTAAAAATGAATATTCGCTCCAGCACATAACCTTCCAGCAAACACCAAAAATATGTAATATACTCTTCCCTCATTAGTCGTCCCAGGGAGAGATATCTTTCTACCATCCTTCTCAGTTCAATATTCTCTCCCAAAGCCCTAGCAGGGTGAAATCTACCCAGCTCATCACGTGTATTATTCTTTAGGAAGAAAAAAACTTAAGTGGATTACATAATAAAAGTTTCTTCAAATCTTTTATCAAGATAGCACAATAAAAACACTGCCCTAAACTATGGAATAATTATAGAGGACTTTCAGAATTACCACAGTTCAAACACTGACCAGGCTAACATGTAACAACTCTTCTTCCCATTCAATGATCACACTGGTTTCTTAGTCGTTTAACCGTCAAAGCACAGTATCAGGATTAGAACTACCAGTTGAAATAAGTGGCTCAACCACAAATTAATACAATTAGTAACATAACCAGAGCAATGCTTAAGAATCTGTATGATGCATTTCCAGTTATACCACTATCAAAAAAGTACCTCCCAAGTTTCTGAAAATTCTTACAAACTAATAAATCCAGCAAAAGGGAACAATAAAATTCATTGAGAGTAAAAAAACTTTAAATGGAACAAGAACCCACTATCAATAAGCATTTGATTCTTACATTTCTTAATTTAATTAAAGTCATGTCCCATTTATATCTTTAAATGCTTATTGATTCATTAACAATGTAAATGGTGAAAAAAATACAAGATTTCTTAATTTCTGAGTGATCATTACTTTTCTAACCAAACTACCATTGAAAAATAATGTAGTGGTTTCTTTTACTCTAATCCAACGTATAAAAACTTACTTTCCATTTCAGAAAATGTAACCTATGATTCTTGGGGAAAGGAAGAAAGTATACAACCAACACACTTTTTCATTGGCCTACCTTAAACTAGGGTGGGTTTTAATTGCTGTGGAAAATGATCAAGACCCTCTACATTACATGGTCAATGGTCCTTTTAATAGAAAAGGCAATAATATACAGTTGTTCGCACCAACTAAAACTCGTTACAAAGTCTCAGTTTAGGGTAACAGTTCAACAGCCATTAACAAGTGCAAATGTCTAATTGCCTTTTAGTGAAAATGTGGTTCTTTCAAAGCTGTTTAAAATTATTTGTATGGTTTAACATACTTGAAAACATTTTTATAAACAAAGTTTAGAAAATATAATTTTGAAAGGCAGAGTTTTTCAATAATCACCTTTTTTTTTTCTTTTTCTAGCATAACATTAGAATTGACTTTTTGTCTTGCTGACAGAGCAACTAAGAAAGTACAGTTACATTGACCATATTGATTGTGAACAAAGCAAGCATCAGTGGGATTCTGCACCATATATTTTCAATATTGACCTCCTATTTCCTTTTCCATGGCTTTCTGGGTCGGCTATTGGATTTGGACTGCAGTGTAATAAACAGCTAAGGTTTAATTAATGGTAAATGAATACAAGACATAGGTTATGACTTTAACTAATTAGGGAATTGTTGAATTAAGTCTGCCTTGGAATGCAAGGCAGTATAATCAATATCCAATAAAAGGACTATGTATGTAATTTACCTGCAAATGTGTTTCCAATACCATCAAAGTGAGTTTAAGTAAGTAAGATATATGAAAGGCGACTAGGAGAGATTTCCACAAATTAACACTTTATAGTTTCAGAAAAGATTTTCTTATTATTGAGAGATGGTATCTTCCAGAACTCTGATAAGGGCACAATGAAAAACAGGAATAATTCTCCACATGTGCACCTTCACCAAATCTGTAATACTCACTGCAGCATAACAATTCAGTGGCTGACCTCCGAGTTTAACCTACACAAACGAGTGTTTTCCTGGCCAAAATGAGCATCAAGCTTAGCTCTCTTGACACCCCTTTATTTTCTCCCTTGTCACAGTCTGGATCTCCTCCCTTGTTAAGACAAATACTCAGTGGCATACAGGAAAACCCTTCCGATAAAAATCTCACCAGCGCTCACACTCCTCAAAGCTACTTTGCAAAGGTCATTTCACGGAGTCTTATTACTCTTTAATTATTCTTGTGAAATAAAAATAAGAAAAGGAAAAAAGAAACTTACGTACTCCCTTGTGGGCATCCAAACTGGTAAACTCCATTGTCCCATTATGGCCTTTTCTAGGATTTTCCTGATACTGTTTGTGGTTCCCATTGGGACAATATCTGTAGGCAAGTCCATAATCTGCAAGATAAACCTGGAAGACATGAACAGACAAACGAATAATGCTTTTGTCCTCTGAAAATATAACCTTTATAATTAAGTCTTAAAGAAATGTTAGGTTAACAGTCTTAGAGCTACATTTTATTAAACCAAATGGTACCTCAGGATAAAATATATACAACCGGGGGCCATAACAACTAACTTTCCAGCTTGAATCCTTATTTCATCATAGGCATATCTTGTTTTTGAGTTGACTTAAATTGTGCATCTTTTCATTTTGCTCCCAAATTTCATTCCCTCCAGGTGGCCATCTAGACTTCCTAAACAACATGTCTTTTCATCTGGATTCATGCAGCTCATAAGGCTCTGCCTTTCCTTGTAACCGCTCCCTGTAACATAACACTGCTTCAAGCAGGAAGGGGGAGATTAGAGCAAACAATCTGAAAATATAAACCTAATGTTACAGGTGTCTCCACTAACAGGAAGGATAAAAATAGTGAACAGAATGTAAGAGGTAATGACTTTTAAAAAAACCAGCAGCGTATTGTCTGTATTTAAGAATGGAACACTGGCTTTTCAGACCGATCCATGTCATCACTGCTATCTTTGCAAGTCAGTCAGAATTGCAAGCAGGGTTTCCAAACAGAATATAAATTGATAAAAGTCAGAAGGCAAGTCAAGTGAATTTTTCTCAGATGAATTTGGAAAGAAAGAGGGGGAAGAAGTAGTTTTATGGGTACAGCATACACTGAATAGGGAACTGTTATGACTAGATATTTATTCTGACATGAAGTCAAAATACAGTAGTCCCCAACTATATGTTACTATGCCACCCCCCCCCCCCCAAGAAGAAAGCAGTCTCAACTTTTAAAATGTGTTTCACACATATTTCTTTAAAATTTTGGGATTGAGGAAACATTTCATGATGTAGCTACAAAACACCAGAGTATTACCAAACAACTTGTATTTTTAAATATGTCTATTAAAAGAAAACTTAGTATTTATTTTTTAGTTTCTTTAAGGTTTTGGTTTTATGATAACCTAAGTAGGAGGTATTTTGAACTTCAAAATATAAACAGCACAGGGCTCTCTCCATTTGCTGGAGAGCACAGCTTGTAGAGTGTCAGAAACATGGTATTTCGGTTTTATTTCTCTAGCCCACAGATGCTGTTTCTCAACATGGTCTCAGAAGTAAATGACCCCCTGTTCTCAGTCACTAGACTTCAGGATCAGATGTGTAACTGGTTGCTTACTTTCACTATTTATGATGCATTTTTATCTTTATTTATTTCAACTAAACAAATAGACTTCACTTTACAAAGCAGATATCCTGGAAATGTTCATATCGATAATTTAGCAAACAGAATATATTAAATACACTAAAGTAGTTTACTTAAAAAAAAATAAGAGCTAATCAAGAAGCTTTTCATGTAGTCATTAGCCAAAAAGACAAGACTTGAACTTCATGGAGTACCTAACATACATCAGAGCATGCTAAGAGCTTTCCATCGCCTGGCCCCTGCCATCCTTAAAGAAATCCCGCCCAGGGAGCCTCGCCTCCAGCTCACTAGTGCAAACTGAAGCTTCGTGAGATTATGTGACTTGTGTAGTAAAATGGACTCAGAGTTTGACTCCAGAGGTTTTACTTCCGGTCACTGTTGAAGGGAAATTGCACTGCACAAGTTAAAAAGAAAAGGAAGACTTTATTCAGGGCCATTGCAATAGGGGAGAGAGATTAAACCCAATTCCACTAAAACAAAGGTGAGAAAGTTTGTAAGCACCGGGGCAAGCTAGTGAAAAGTCCTGGAGGACATTAGGGGAGGTCGGTCAGTGTGGCTAGGTTATCTGTGTTTGCTAATTGGTGCTTAGGCCCCTACCCTCCTTCAGAGACTAAAGGGACATTTCTTAAAGATTACGTTTTAAAGGAAGGGCTCCCAGGTCCTTGAGGTCCTTGAGAAAGGACTTTTTTTTTTTGCTGGGCATATTTTTTTTTCCTGGTTAAATCTCCTTATTAGTAACTATTCTGTTCAGATTTTTTATTTCTTCATTATTCGATCTTGGTAGGTTGTATGTTTCTAGGAATTTATCCATTTCTTCTAGGATATCTAACCTGTTGGCGTATAATCGCTCATAGTAGTTTCTTATGATTCTTATCTGTGTTATCACAGTTATAATGTCTCTTTTCTCATTCCTGATTTCATTTATTTGGGCCTTCTTTTTTTTCTTAGTCCAGCTAAAGGTTTGTCAATTTTGTTTGTTTTCAAAAAACAAAACAAAAACAAAAAAGCACACAGCTGTTTCATTGATCTTTCCTATTGTCTTGTTAGTCTCTCTCTTATTTTCACCCTGAAATTTATTATTTCCTTCCTTTTAATAACTCTGTGCTTCATTTTTCCTTCTTTTCCTATGTTCTGTATGTGTAAAGTTAGGTTGTTTTATTTGAGAGCTTCTTCTTAATGTACGAGCTGACTGCTATAAACTTCCCTCTTAGAACTGCTTTTACTGCATCCTATTAATTTTTGAATGTTGTATTTCCATTTCTATTTGTCTGAAGGCATTTTTTTACTTCCCTTTTGATTTCTTCTTTGACATACTGGCTATTCAGGGGCATGTTGTTTAATCCCCACATATTTATGAATATTACAGTTTTCCTCATGTAACTGATTTCAAGTTTCATACCATTGTGGTTAGAAAAGATGCTTGATATGATTTCAGTCCTCTTAAATTTACCAAGTCTTGTTCTGTGGCCTAACACGATCTATTCTAAAGGTTGCTCTATGACACTTGAGAAGAATGTGTATTCTACTGCTGTTAGATGAAATGTATTGTATTGTCTATCAGGTTTAACATGTAGTTTAAATCCAATGTTTCCCCACTGATTTTCTGTCTGGATAATCTATCCATTGTTGAATGTGAGGTATTGAAGCCCCTGACAATTATTGTATTCCTGTCTATTTTTCCCTTCAGATCTGTTAATATATGCTTTATATATTAGGTGCTCTGATACTGGGTGCATAATTTGGTGGCCTTAATTGAGTTGTAGGTAGAAGTCAAATAATTATGGAGAGCTATTGACAAAATAGTAAAACAAACAACTATCTATCCTCACCCTACTATATAAATCATTTTGTTTTTTAGTTTGGATTTTTATCTACTAGCATAGCCTATTATTCAAAATATTTATATTCTAATAGATTCAATGAGAATTAAATTCTCTAAAATTCTCATCAAAGTTTTACTACCAGAATCTATAAATATTTTAAAATTATAGATTGTAAAGCACTAATAAAGAAATTTAGGACTGACTGCATTTGGTCAGTAGAGATTAGATGTAAGAGGAAGTAAAGCCAATAATTTGTATAAAGTAATCAAAATGTTGACAAATTATTTTGTCTCAAATCAGGTCAAAGTGAGAATTTCTACAAAGATAATTTAATAGAAATACCAGTCTTGAACAATTCAAAATGAGAAAGAAAAAAACAGCTGAGAAATGTCAAACAGGATAAGGAAGGAAAGAGAGGAAGTAGCATTTGTTGAGGTTCTAATGATAATCACTGAGCAAAATATACCTTTCACAGATAATTTCATTAAATCCAACCCATCATTTAGCCAGGAAGCATTGGTCTCATTCCAGAAATGAGGAAGCTGAGCATCCAAGTAGTTCAATGACTTGCTCAAGTACTAATAAGAATAGAAACAGGATTCAAATCCATGCCAATATGGCTTCCAAGTCTACTGTCTTGTTGTTGTTTTTATAGAACATACAATGTGGGATTCTGCCCATTTCTGAAATTTTGTTGAGGTAAATATTAGTTTAAGCAGAACTCAATCTACAGTAGGGTTTGCAGTCTAGGCACTGTTTTTGTATGCCCTTGAGCTATGAATAATTTCTGCATTTTTACAGAATTATAAAAAAGAAAAAGAATATGCAGCAGAGTGCATATGTGGCCCACAGAGCCCATAGAAGCCTAAAATATTTACTACCTGGCTTTTTACAGAAAAAGTTTGCCAACCTCTAATCTAAAGAAAAACTTGCTTTCAGTTAACGTTTTTAATATTATCATTTTTTTCTGTGAAATCAAAAGTAACAGCTAGTTAATATTTTTTACTTTAAGTATAAATACATATAATATGCCAAGCTTTAGAAGGTTGTGGTAAGAAACCCAAGATCACCAATCAGGTAGAGGACGATTATTTGCATTATAATAAGACTAGACAGGAAAATTTAAAATCTATCTCCCTGATGCATTTTAAATGATTTTCTTTCTATGCAAATTTTCTGAATCTAGTAACCTTTTCCTTTGTCCATGAGAAAAAGGACAGCCCGCCTGCTTCCCTTTCCTCAGACCTTTCTGTTGCACTGCACTGCCTCTCGCATTTCTACATGGTGCTCATTCTTTCTCACCTTAGACATACTTTATGTTTTTTGTATAACTTTGTAACATAGGTAGAGATGATATGCATCATTATCCACATTTAACAGGTGAAAATTATTGCAATATACTCAAATAATGCAAGTCACCCAACACTCACCAAGTACTGCTTCTACAGAGGATTTTGTTTTAATGAATTTCTTAGCTCCCCCACCCCCAACCCAAACACCTAACCTGAGCTAATGCTTTCATGGCCTTTTGATTTTAATATCTTATTACTGACGGTAGTATGGCAGCCACTGAGGTGCAATCCCACCAAGGAAGCAAGGGCCTTTCACCTGTGAGGAGTGCGGTAAGCTGAGCACCTCCAGTGGCTGGACCAGTAGGAACCACCAGAGCATGAGAGCCAAGGCCACACTCTTCCTGGGCGGCTCCTGGCAAACAATCATGGTGGGGATACTGTGTGGCCAATTCCACCAACCGGAGATCCTTCTCATGGGCATTCGTTGTTCAGCTGCTCCCTAATGGGCTGGCTGAGCTTTGTCAGAACTACTTAAAGTCCAAGCTCTCCCTGCTTAATCCCTCTTGTGCCCTTTCCTTTCCTTTCACGGGTGTCATATCGACACCCCACTCTACAAGCATTGCTTGTCCAATCCTGCTT